GTCACGAAAAAAATGTCATTTCCGTAAGCCGGAGAGGAAATTCAAATATGTTTTTACGTGTACATCCTACTATCTTCTCGCTTATCCCGTTCGCTTCCGCACAGCTCAGACGACCAAGAGAACCCGACGGAGAAACCCGTGCGTTTGAGTGAAAAAATATATTTACGTTAGTGTTGTTAGAAATCACGTTTGTCACACTTTGGTGGTCTTTACCGTAACCAAAATATTTCGGGTGAGTAAATTTATTTATGTTTATTTAATACGTCTACAATGTTCGTTCTTAGTTCAATTTTTACGAGTAAATTTATATATTTTTTTACATTTATAATAACGGAATTAAAAATAAAAATGACACAAAACGTCACTACCCTCTTAGTCACTACCATCAATTACCATCAGTTTTAAAGTGTAAAGGTAATGACGCAAAAGTAATGGTGATGATCCAGACTTGATTTATTTTTTATTTTTCTTGTTTTTGTTAAAATACGCAAGTTAGATAAAGTTAGGTTGATTAATATGTATAATCCAACAAAACAATGCAGTAGCTCAAAATTTTAATCACCATTGCTACTAATATTTTGTGTATTAACATGGTTTTTTAAGTAGGGATAGTCTTATGTCCAAAATATGGCTAAGAGTACTTTTATCGTAGTCATGTACTCTATGTCATAGGAACGGAGCTGCGGGTAAAAGCTAGTCCACCATAAATTTAACAGTGAAGAACATTTATAATATATTTAATATATTTTCTCGTTTTTGTTTTGAAATGTTTTTCGCTATACTATTTTCTTAAGTTTCTTCCAGGGTTTTAACGTAATGTTATTGCTTAATGCCTGACGATTTTTCTCTCCTTTAAGGTAAAATTATGACAAGTCAAGACCAAGAAAACCCGTGAGGAAAAATTGGCTCACGCTCGACTTTATTAGAGGCTAAAATACGCAGACATAAAAGAAGATCCAGAAAAATATTCAATTGAAAAAGAAAGATTAAGATATTTACAGTGAAGAGAGCAAAATATACTTAAAATTATTAGAGATTTAACTCCTAAGGAACAGCGTCAAAAAAGAAGAAATTGGAGAGAGAGTTGCAAACGCTATTTGGAAAAAAAGAAAAAAGAAAGAACACTAGCGCAATTGATTGACAATTCTCCCCATGGCAGTGATCTAGATCCAGTACCCGCAGCAGTTGTAGATCCTTTAGAAGGACCATTGGCGCACATCTTTCAAGCGAGCAATCTCACTTCAATAATAAAATAACAAATCCAAATGTTTGTACTGATAGCATTAAAAACGATGTACTCGTATATCATAAAAGAATGTTAGAACCGAAAAGAGACTTAAAAGAAACACAAAAAAAGAAGGCAGGAATGCAGAGAACTTTACATAGATTCATCAAAGACCAAAGAAAATCGCAAGTAAATAATCTATCGACAGAACAGAAAGTACTAGGTTTAGTTGAGAATATAGAAGAAAGTTAAAAAGAAGAGGTAAAGAAAAGACTTATTTTTAGTGAAATCGTTACTAGAAAAATAAAACCTGGATACAAAATTATGCCAAAAAATGATAAACGCAAATTTAGCCATTTATTTGTCAAAGAAGACTTCAATAAACACAAAATTTTGAATACTATAACTTCATTTACGGTAAAATAACAAAAAACTAAAGAAAATAATAAAAGCAAATTAAACAGGAGATTGAAAACTTTTTCGAAGATGATAGTAACAGCAGAATAGCAGCGGATAAAAAAGAATTTAAAAAAATAGCTGGATTAGTTATGCAGAAGCGGTACCTAACCGATACACTGACAAATTTGCATGCGAAATTTCTTAAGACTCACGACAGTGAAGTTGGATATTTAACATTCTGCAAATATCGTCTATTTTGGGTAGTGTTCCCAAAAGAATCTAATAGAAATACTTGTTCTTGCATATTACATGTAAACATAGACCTTTTGATTAAATCCCTAAATAAAAACTGATTTGATTAAATACACTGTGATTTAATAGCAGTCAAAGTAATAACCTTAATTAAGTACACGGTAATTGCTAAACTGAATAAGTCATAAATAAGTTTAATTTTTTCAGATTGAAGACTGTTACACAAATTGATGAAATGTGCTATTGTTAGGAACTGATTCCAAAAACGAGGTTATGTTACAATATATTTTTATTTTAACGAGAGTTTATTATAGCAATATCATAATATGATTATGTAAACCTGTAGAGCTAATAATTATATACAGAAAATAAATGAAGGAATAGGAAAATATGGTGTTTTATTTAAAAGAAATTGGATAGCAAGCAATGTCATTACTAGTAGTCACTATGTCATTACCGTCACAACGTAGTCATAACCGTTACCCTAAAAATCATTACCGTAATAATAATAAAAAACCAAAGGCCTATATCTTCGCTATTTATAGGTGCAATTAAAAAAAAAAGTTATTCCTTACTTGTTTATAGTCATTTTTTCAAAATATATCAAAATTTTGAAAATCTAATAATTTCTCTCATTTTTACCGAATTGGATCGAAATCGTAGAATCAGCCGTATAGTATTTAAAAAAAAAAAAAAAAAAGGAACAATGCGCACGGGTCGTGCCGTGCACTGCGTTTCAACCATGGATGACAAATAAAACATAGAGTATATAACTGAACTGACTTAATTAAAATTTGTATAGATTATATCTCAATATTGGTGTAAGTACTTTATAAACTTTGTCTAAGGTCTCATGCTATCCTTATTTCTTTACAAATACATGTGAAAGTTAGAGCAGAATAGGAATAGTCTACGACATTCAATTATAGTAAAATAAGTCTGGCATTAAAAATAGAAGCGCTATTGTTAAATAGCATTCTTTTTATATACAGCAATATACTCTATGTAGCATGCTTAATAAGCACGCTCCACAGACGAGTTTTATAAAAAAAAACTTTTTTAATAATTAATTCCGCAGACCTGTGTAATTAAAGTAATCGTATACCTTAAACCTTTATTTAAACCTATTTGATTGACAACAAACTTTTAAACAATTTACATAAAAACATAACTAGTACAGGCATCAGATGCATCACTACAATAAATAAAATACCTCCATTAATCCCACTTCATCCAAGTATTATTCAACTTATTCAAGGTCAAATGATAAAAAATCGAACGGTTGCCTATTGATTGATTTTAAAATAGAAATAGTTATAAAGTGGGTGGACCGTGGAAGCCACCTTAACAAATAAACAGTTATAATTCTTTTATTTATGGGATAAATGAAACAAAGAAATGATTAATAACACTTTGTTCTATTATGTAACTTATAAAACATTTTAATTTATTGCAGAATTAATGATTATTTATTGATTTTAAGATTTATTGAACACTTTCAAAATGGCCTTGCAAGAAACAGGGCTCCATACAAGGCCGATATAATAAATCAGTCGTTTAACTTAAAACTACCGTTGAATCAATCAAAATATCCGGTTATCCTTAATCTTCATAAAAAGGTATTTATATCATAATATATTCACATAAAAAATCGTCAACAAATATTACTTGAACACTATCGTAAAACTAATTGACTTGGCCGTCAAGAAAATGTTGTATCATATATATCTGGGCGGTAATTAGATTCAATATTATGTCCTAGTCCGAGGTCATTGGGCCTCACGAGGATATATATATATATATATTGTGAGGTTGCATTTTTATATATTGAGTGCTTAAATAGAAAATAATATATATGATTATTTTGTAATTATTATGTACAAGGCATTTACTTATGTGACCTTGGCCGATAGGGATGTGTTTTAAAAAAATATATAAAAGGCGCGAATATTCATTTGTTTTCCCGCGGTTTTGCAATTTTCACAGAGATGTCGGTACCACCCTGTAGATCACTACGAATTGTTTATAATACTGAAAATTATGATTACAAATTATGTAACTCACTAACGTTTATAAAAGTACTAAATATAAGAATATAAGCAAAGAATATCTCGAAGTTTTATTACGGACCTTACAAAAGTAATAAGTATAAAAAGTAAAAAAACGTATATTTCGTTATTATTAAATAAGCTCTCATGGCTAGTTGTTAAAAAATGTTATGGAAGGACTCTTGAATCGACCTCCCCTTAAGTCTATATATTTGGGGAAATCAGAATTTTCGTTGTTATAGACCTAAAAAAATTTGAAATAACTATGAAATTGCTTAAACCAAATAAAATATTGAGAATTTTTAAATAAAAATTAAAATATGCGTCTACTTATTATTTGCAAAATTAAAACGCATAATTAAAACTCTCTATAATGGCAGCACTTCTCTTGTAAAATCAAAATTCAAAAATCAAAACACATAATTAAAACTCCCCAAAATAGCAACACTTCTGCCAAATTACGTCAAAAACAATAAAATAGTGCAGAATTGAGGTTATATTTATGAAACTTTGATATTTTTATCTCCGAAAGTATTTGTTTCCGCCGCTTGAAAGTTTGTGGGATTACTTAAGACAATAAGTACTTTGCTCAAAAGAAAATCAAGAGTCTAATAAGGGATGTCGATTCAAGAGCTGAGCCAAATGAAACACACAGAAAGGGAATGGAACGTATAGTGACGTAAACGTCAAAACAACATTTTATATTTTGCCAAATGCCATCCATACATTTGTCAAAAGCTTAGTACTAGTTAGTGAATAGTCTTTAAATTCATAAATCTGCATTCTGTGGTGAAAAGTTGCCGAATCGCTTGCCTAGAGTTCACTTTATACTAAAACTTTAAAATATAAACGTAACAGTATTACGAATAAAAAATGAAAAACAAGAAGTACCTTAACAACAAGTAAATATCATGAATATGACATTTGACAAAGTAAAGTAATCAACATATAATTTCTCCCGCAATCACAACTAACGTTGTTGAATTATCACACTATCTTTACATACTTATAAACAAACATTGTATTTAAGTTAAATAATGAAAATTTTGCTATAAGGCTAAAAAGAAAGAACAAATATGAAGCTTGTAAGTAAAAATACATTATTTTGAGATTTAATTTTATTCCTGAAGTGCCATTTTACTTATATTGTCTCTATTAGTATTGTTTAAGCAGTGACGCATCGAAGCCATGCTTTGTACTATCGTTCAAAGAGCTCCTGATAATGTTGGACTGTGGGCTCTCTGCACACTCCGTGCTCAACTTTCTACCACTGCCACCAGTGCCAAGCACAAGACTTGCTTCTCTACCCAACTACACACCACCACATGTCAATGATCCTTTGTTGGAAGGGGTAAAAACATTGTTTTTATTAAGATAACATTTATAATTGTGTGTATACAAAAAACAGTATGAAGCTAAAAACATACAATCCATACTCATATTAGAAATGCAAAAGTTACTCTGTCTATCTATTAAATCTTCACACTTAATCTGCTGTACTGATTTAGATAAAATTTGGTATAGAGATTGTTTAAGACCCTGGGAAGGATATAATGTATATATTTATTCTGGAAATCATCCCTTAAGGAGGTGGAAGTTTTTGTAGGGAATTGATCATTTCTCAAGTAAGGGATAAAACTCATCATACCTATGTATGTATGAAGCGTACAGGTAAAGAATGGAATATGACAATTATTTTTGTTTTGTACTGGTAACAAATCTATGTCTATGGTACTTGCATTCCCAACCACTGGTTTTTACGAATACTCAACATATATAGCTAAAAATACATTTTTATCTATGCGTAAAGTGAAAAGAACTGGAAATTGCTGTGATATACTGGTAAAGATGGAGGATTGTAGAAAAATCTACATAATAAAAAGTTACAGCATACTTTGATCTCAATAAATACAGTACTTCTAAACTTTAAATTGTTTTTTTTGTCATGATCTATTCATTAGGACATTCCCTTTCTTTGCCTGTACCCCTTATGGATGAATGAATGATATGGATGAATTCCAGGGAACGGATTGTGAGTCACTATATACTATAATGTGGAACTCATGTTGAAAATAAAAGCTTTATATTATTGCAGTTGTTGAAATGTAAAAAACCTTGTTTCTGCAAAAGTTTCAATTACTTATTATTATATAAGCTTCTGTTTATAAATGACCCAACCTGAGAACAAAATAATGAGTGAGAGAGAGAATAATCATTAGTTTCACTCTATTTTATAAATACAAATAATTATATTCGATTTTATTATAATCTTTCAGGAATTAAAAGAATGTTGTGGCCGAGTGTTTGTGGACAGTATACCAGAGTTTTGTCCCCCATTAGACAAAGTTGTAGATTTTTCCCAACTGGATGTGATCCTCATCTCAAATTACACCTGCATGATGGCTCTACCTTTTATTACTGAGGAGACGGGCTTTAAGGGGCAGGTGTATGCTACAGAGCCCACTTTGCAAATTGGCAGGTGAGGGATATTTTGTTAATTTCTTAATGTAATAATTAGTATTTAACATTCATAAGTATCTAATAAATTTTATTACAATATCAAAGTATTGTATATATATATGAGGGTGTATTTTTATGTTTTTTCCACGCACTACCAAACTGTGGAACCAACTCCCATCGACTGTGTTCCCGCTTGACTACAACATGGGGTTATTCAAGGGGCAGACCAATAAAGTCCTGAAAAGCCGGCAATGCATTAGTGGTGCCTCTGGTGCTACAAATGTTCATGGGCGGCGGTAATCTCTTAACATCACGAGACCCGCCTGCTCGTTTGCTCGCTAATATTATAAAAAAAAAATTCGTGGAGGTAATTAGTGAGGGTACTTAACTGAGTGGTTATCAATGAAGTAATCACTTTGCAAGTGAGCTGATATTTACCGAGACGGATTTCTTACGCCGACCCGATATCTAGTAGTGTTGTTGATCGAAGATAATGGTAATTTAGTATATGGTATGTTAAGAACGAAAATGTCGGGGGAGCAGGTTCTACCTGGAGGAGCTGTCGGAGTGGGTGTCGGGTAGCGGCAGGGGCGGCGCCGGCGCCAAGCGCTGGAAGGAGCTGCTGCACGTGCTGCCGCCGCCGCTGGCGCACGCCGCGCGCCCGCGCGCCTGGCGCCGCCTCTTCAGCCCCGCCGCACTGGCGCGCGCGCTCGCGCGCGTGCGCGTCGTGGGCTACGACGAGCGCGTCGACATTTACGGCGCGCTCGACGCCACCGCCGTCAGCTCCGGCTTCTGCCTCGGCTCCGCCAACTGGGTGCTGCGCTCGGCGCACGAGAAGGTAGCCTACGTGAGCGGCTCCAGCACGCTCACCACGCACCCGCGCCCCATCAACCAGGCCGCGCTGCGCGGCGCCGACCTGCTGGTGCTGGCCGCGCTCACGCAGACGCCGGCGCACAACCCCGACCACATGCTGGGCGACCTGTGCGTGCACGCCACCGTCACGCTGCGCGCCGGCGGCTCGGCGCTGTGCCCCGTGTACCCCAGCGGCGTGCTGTACGACCTGCTGGAGTGCCTCAGCGCACACCTAGAGGGCGCCGGCCTGGCGCACGTACCGCTGTACGTGGTGTCGCCCGTGGCCGACAGCTCGCTGGCCTACAGCAACATCTTGGCCGAGTGGGTGTCGGTGGGCAAGCAGGCGCGCGTGTACCTGCCCGAGGAGCCCTTCCCGCACGCCGCGCTCGTGCGCAGCGGCCGCCTGCGCCACGCGCGCTCGCTGCACGACGACGCCTTCAGCGCGGACTTCCGCCAGCCCTGCGTCGTGTTCTGCGGACACCCCAGCCTGCGCTTCGGCGCCGCCGTGCACCTCGTCGAGCTCTGGGCCAACAACCCGGCGCACGCTATCATCTTCACAGGTAATTCGACGATCGACCGATTCGGTCACTCATTAAAAATCATCAAACGTAAGAATCGCTCGTGACAGTTTCCGTTTTCGATCGCGTCCACAGAGCCGGACTTTCCGTACCTCGAGGCGCTGGCGCCGTTCCAGCCGATCAGCATGAAGGCGTTCCACTGCCCCATCGACACGTCGCTGAACTACTCGCAGGCCAACAAGCTGGTGCGCGAGCTGCGGCCGCGCGAGCTGGCGCTGCCGGAGCAGTACGCGGCGGGCGCGGGCGGGCGGCCGCACATCAGCGCCGACGCGCCCACCGTGGTGGTGCGGCGCGGCGCCGCGCGCGCGCTGGCCGTGCGCCGCCGCGTCGCGCGCGCCTCGCTGTGTGGCGCCCTGGCCGCGCGCGCCGCGCCGCGCGAGCTGCGCGCCGGCCTGCGCGCCGCGCCGCTGTGCGCCGCGCTGCGCGTGCGCGACGCGCGCCTGGAGCTGGAGGCGCCGCCGGGGCTGCCGGGCGCAGCGGGCGGCGCGGGGGTGGAGGCCGGCGCGCGGCTGCACTGGAGCGCGCTGGACGTAGAGGCGCTGGTGCGCGCGCTGGCGCGGGAGGGCGTGGCGGAGGCGCGCGTGGAGGCGGGCGCGGACGGCTGCATCGTGCACCTGCCGCGGCACGACACGCTGGTGCACGTGGAGCGCCACGCCACGCACGTGTTCTGCGAGGGCCGCGCCGACGTGCGCCAGGCGCTGCGCCGCGCGCTCGCCGCCTGCCTGCCGCACATATAGCACACCGACCGCCGCCTTCCTGTATTAAATCTGACATAAGTTAAATTCATGTTTTATTTACGGAATAGCTGCTACCCGCGATCCTAACCTGACTACTCACCGCATACACTCGCACACACTTATCTTAATTATCACCTACTGCTTGTGATGACGTCACATGATAGCCCGAGACGCGAGCGACCGACAACTGCAAGCATTTTCTACAAGCTGATTTTTTAATATCACATCACTTTGGTGAAGTGAAGAAATAACCTGCCGTCAGTCAGCTGGTCGTTAGACTTTAGCGCGGCTTTAATTTTAAAAAAACTATAGGTCGTTCGCAACTACTTTCTAAAACCTGAAAATTAATTTGCGAGCAGTATATTATTATTATTTTTTTGTTTTAATGGGAGGATCGCGTCAGTCACGCACGCGTTAAAGTTGTAAAAAATGGGTACATCGTGCAAGTACTTTATAAAACTGGAAATCTAATATACAAGTTATATTATTATGAAGATATATTATTATAATCACAAAAAATATAGTCGGTCAGTAAATATATTTCTCTAACAGATGCCGTCAGCCGATAAAAGGTTATATAAATATTAAAATATATATTATAAGTGATGGGGGGACCATGGTATTGGCACACTTTGGCACTCCACGGATATAGGTAACATTATTTTAGCATGGCAACTCTTAGAGACACGGATAACTTAAATGTATGAAAATAGACAAATAGTATTTACACTCAAATAACATTAAACGTATGGAAATAGTAAATAGTTGTATCAAAATAATATAAATATACAAGCTGCACCAAACGCTACCGAAACCAAACCAGCTGACTGACGGCGGCGGGCAGGATATTTCTTTACTATGGAGGGTAGAGGTACTGAGAACCGTCTTATACTTATCGGACACAAGTTGAAAAAGTTTTCAATGGTGAGCAGCAAATTGTAATTCAGAAACTCACTGATATAGCGCTAGCGTAGCAAGTAGAAGTGATATATATATATTTTTAATTTATTTAGTTTCATTCAGGCATAAGTCCATATTTACATATATCTCATTGTAAACATTTAGCAATAAATTGGTTCTTAATACTATTAGGAACATTTATTTTAAGTATTTAAATGACGATCGATGTGTCATTCAATGCCACACTATGCGACTGTCAAGTCTTTTAGCCACAGTGGCTACAAGGCTATTGGGGCTATCGCGTACTCGCCGCATCAGGGACGCTATTAGTGATCGTACTAACGCGTAAAAGTCCGGCACACCAGCACTCGCGAACATCCCCAAAGCACTGCAAAAACGCGGTAGCCCCAGCATTACCCGGAACGCGTTATTGTATTGGATACGCAGAGCGCTTCACGACCTATGCGCATAACCGACCCATAGGGCACACGGGCACATGGACTGACAATAGGCTCTAAACAACGTCATTTTAACTTCTCTTGTACATCGCGCGAACCTACGGGCCAGCATGTTACACCTGCTAGCGCTCGGCGTTCCCTCTCCATTTCTTCATCATAAATCAGCCTATCGGCACGGTAATATTACATACAGTATTCCATCTTCATACAAACGGTCGGAAATCGAGTTATACCTACGCGCCTCGCGTTCGGTATACACTCGGTAGACAACCGTGCGGGGCTGCCAGATCGTATAATTGAATACGAAAATTGTATATGGTGGTTGTTATGTAACTTTTATAATTTAATACAAAAATAAACATTTTATTCCTCCCGTACTTCGCTAACGTAACTTCGCTAATGTCAAACAAAAAAGTATCGAGACATGCATCGTATGTTTTAAAAATAAAAATTAATTAATTAAATTAAAAACAAAAATTAAAGTATTTTTAATTAAGCTTTTTATCTGAATGCGGATTCTTTATACTATTAAATTTAACAATAAAGTTATTCATACGTCTCAGTCGAGGCGAAAATATTTTTAAATATCAAATTTATAAGGGTGGTATGTGACCCTTATAAATTATTATTTATAGATTATCCTTATAGATTTTTTTAATGAAATCTACTAATAATAGTTTTTAATAAAAAATATAATATTTGAAATCACAAAATTAGAAAGCAACTCAAGTAGGTAGATGAAATTAAAATACTGTCCGGCGGGCACTCGGGCAGCCCTGTCGCGTGGGTACGTGCCGCTTGGCTGTAGGTAATTATTTCAAGGACAGGCCCGAATTGCAATACTGTATGCATTACATTACCCTGCTATCGGTTACACACTAGTGTCCGAGGTACTTAAACCGCGTAGGTAACTCTAGTGAGCGTCACTCCTCCTAAGAAGACAGGTGGAACAGTGTCATAACTTTATTTTCTGCTTTAAAAACTAATAGTTTAGCAGTTTTAAACGGAGTGATAGCTTTATAAAAAATAATTAAAATCAATAATAATATTATTAAGAGAGACAGAGTTCTTTGAACACCGTTCATTGTACTAGAGGGCAGGGCCAAAAATAATATTCCCTCCACGAGCGCGTACACGCCGGCGTGTCAGTTAACAATACATTTCTTAGAATTTGAATTAATTTCTTGGAAATTTACTTGGAGGTGTTAAATCACGCACTCTCTCGGATAATAATTGACGTAAGTTCAATAATCTTCAAATAAATCAAATTAAAAATTTAAGAAAACCCTAATGCATAAAAAACCTTAAAAATATGATAAGACGTCAAAAGATTTAGAGGTACTATTATTGTAACTGCAACCAAAAGAACTAAAATCTTCACTTATTTCAAAATTTAGTAAATAAACTAAGCGTGAAGATAATAAGGTTTAGGAAATAAAACCATAACTCTAATATACATCATTTATATTTATAAATAAATATTTAACATTTAGTAATATTGATAAAGTGAGTAAGTATAAAGATGGACCGAGGACAGCGCGTCGCTGACAGTCAACTAACAAACGTCGACATTTGAAACAAAACTTAAAACAGGACAGATAGATCTTATCTACTATAAAAATACTGAGGCTCCATATATATCTGGTCGTACTGCAATTTAATGTCGCCATAGAGACTGAACGCCTCTCTCGGCCGCCACGCGCACACACAATATTCTTTCCATTACAAAACTAAACATTTCACAACATCAACTGATGAAATAAAATAGATAATCTCCTTCGTATGTAGGCGATAGTTTCACTATATGCCGTCCATACTCTTTAGAAACATAAAGCATAAGCACAACTCACTTTTCACATTAAAGTTAAAATCTATATTTTTAAAAGGCGATAAATGGCCACAAGTACTGACGCCTCTAGAATAAATACATTATGTACATTTTAAATAATAAAATTAATTTTAAAGTTTTATATTTTAATTAGCAAAATATTTTACTAGTAGTACCCGTAACGCGCACGTTGCGGCTAGTAGATGAGTGTCACGTGACCACCACTATTGGGTATTAACGCTTATGACATGACGTCATTAATAAAAAGAGACCTCGACAAAGAAACGAAAGCAATAAATAAAAATAATACGCTATTTACAATACCAATACAGAGAAGTTCAAACCACATTAATATATTTTCATACTTTTACAAATTCAAACATTAAAGTTTTACAAATAATTTGTGTGTCAATAACATGGATTATTTTTAAATTTTCTTATCTAAGTTCAGATTTCTGAATATCCATAACAATAGAATTCTGACCAAACGATCACAGAGGACATTTAAAATAAATCATGTACTTGTTTACTAAACCGTAAGTTAGAGTGGAGTGAGCTAGTATTAGTGTAACAATATGATACGGACTGCGGGTGGACGCGACTACGCGTTGAGGTCGAGGTCGGCGAAGAGGTCGCCGCGCGTGGCCACGGTGAGCGCGTAGTGCGTGTTGAGCTGCAGCAGCAGCTCGCGCTCGTCCAGCATCTCTAGCGCCTCCACACGCGCGCGGTCCTCCTCGGGGAAGGCGCGCCACACGGCCTCCATGTCCCAGGCGCGCGCGGCGTCCCAGCCTTGCTCGCGCAGGCGCTGCGCCTGCTCGGCGGGCGCGGCGCGGTGCGAATCGCCCGGCGGCGCGCAGCCCCGCGCGCTCAGGTTGCGCAGCATCACCTCGCCGAACTTGTCGCCCAGGCTGCACTGCTCGTACACCAGCAGCACGCAGCGCGGGAAGGCGGCTGCCAGGTGGCGCACGAGTGCCTGCGCGGCGTCGGGCCGCAGGTACACCAACACGCACTCGGCCAGCACCAGCGTGGGCAGCGCGCCACTGGCGCCGGCCGCCTCCAGTTTGCGCCGCACCTCGCTCAGGCAGCGTAGGTCGCAGCCTAGAAGGTGGTACCCGTCCGAGTGCAGGTCCCCCGACCGGATCATCACCTCACCATCTAGTTACACACACAAACATATTTCATCTTTATATAATTTAATGCAAAGCACAATAAGTTAACAGATACTACTTTAACCTTTATATACATAATGTAAAAATCACACAAAAAGTATCTTTGTTTAAAGAGCAACACACCATTTTGATCATTGACAAGTTTCAGCTTTCATTACAGTTTAATGGAAATAAATGTTAGTCATACCCTCTTTGCATATCTTCTCTAGGAGTTGTTTGTTACGTTTAATGATGTGACATTTTTTGCTTATAACTGATGGAAAATCCAGTTCAATAAAATTACTGACAGCTTGAGTGGTGTCCTTGAGTCGCCAGTAAAGAGTGTCAAATCCACATCCTAAGTTAATGATTTGACATTTGGTACCACACCGCTGCAGTAAAAAATTAAAGTATTTAAATTATATTAGAATTCATAAAAGTAAAAAGTTTTCTTACATAAATAAATTAGCTTTGGGAGTGGGACTTTCCTCAAGCATTATTGTATAGTGGTAAAAATAACCAATGTTATGTGTTATTTATATGAATTAGTTTAGAGGTTCTAATGATTAGCAGGAATAAGGTTTTGTGGAAGTTTAATTTTGTTTATAAATATAGGCAAATTATGATTTGCTAAATTAAGCCACGGATGTGAAGTGAAAATTAATTAATGATATATTTTTTTTAAATTGTATAAAAATGCATGGGCTTCTTTTTATAAAATGAAATATTCTCGTTATATGTAAAAAAAAAACATTAAATGTATTAAGTAGAAAAACAAAGCTACCATTGAGTTCACCAAATATCAATATTTTTTATAACTACCTCTAAAAACTGATGTATGAACATTTCCATAGCTTTGACTCTCGCGTAATAGCCTCGGTTTATTTCAGGAGCTTTACGATCTACATGTTTAGCAAAATAGCTAATATATTCATCCTTCCAATAGCCCAGATCAACGGCGCATCGCTTACATTCCGTCGCATCAGTGTTTGTAGCGATGATGGCCTCGTCTTCTGCAGTCCACGATATTATGTTATTCATGATGACACTAATATTTAACAAGTTACACTAGAGTGAATTTATGACTTCACATCGCCTTCTGTAATGTACTATAGCGACCACAGTCTTATTTTAGTTTAGATTATAATCTTAACTTCAATTTTCCCATTTACTTCATTATTAATATTTTTGAAAACAATTTCGTAATTTTGTTTCGCTAAACGCGAGTTGCGACTTTATTTGACAATGACAAGCGTTGAAGCGACCTCGGACCAGCGAGTTGCGACAGATGTGAGATCATAGAGTATATTGCTACATATAAAGTGATATATAACAGTGTATAATAAACATATAATTTCAGGACGAGGAAAATAAGAACACAGTAAACCAATGCAATAATCTTTATAATATCACTTTTTATATTATAACTTTTATAATGTCACTTCAATTTTCGTATTTCCATCTAATATCACAATTAAATGTAGTTTTAACGATCACTTTATATCACTACTATTTAACCAATCACAGAAAAACTTTTTATCTTTTTACTTTTTACACATAGGTTTACCGCTATTTTGATCAATAAGTCTACCAGCATAAATTCAATATTATTTTAACAACGATTACTTATCTTTTCTGGCGTAATGCACTTATGTCCAAAAACTCCCTCTTCCAAGTTCCAACGGTTACCTTACGCTTTTATATCAATCAGCTGGAAGTGAAATTTTAATTATTTTTTTATAAAATCATCCTAAAAATCTGTTAAGTATCCATAATTTATAATTTAAATTTATTAAATTAAACAATAGTATTCATATTATATCCTGTAAATTCAAAATTTTACTTTTATACTGATAATAAAATCACGATTTTCGACTTGCCTGACTGGAAACTGAGATGTGATGAAAAAAATTTCTTTGCATATTTCTATTATATTATCAGCAAGAAATAATAATTATATAGCCTCAGATGAAATAAAAAGTGGTGGAGTAATATTATCTGTAAAATTTATTTACGCTCTGTCAAAATAAATATTGTTATAATAACAAATCTAATGACATTGACAATTTTCATTGAATATTAAATTTATTTAAGTTATGAGGTGTTCCGTGTTGTCATTAATTAAATAAAACTAATACATTAAATACATTAAAATCAAAACTACTGCAATTTCGTTGAATTTGAAAGTTGAATTCGTGATCTTAATACATTTTTAGCCAATTTTAGTTTTTCTACTAAATCCTCGTAGCTACTTATTTATTTTGTTAGTTGTTAATGAAGTAGCTGGTGTAAAATCTAGTTAAGTTTAAAGACTGCTATGGAGGCACAATCTGAGGATACGCCGAAACCTTCCTTACCATTGATATTGATTAGTGCTTATGATTTAGCGAGTGCTAATGCATTGATATCAGGTATTGTAACTTAACTCTTATTGAATTATTATATATATATATATATATATATATATATGTTATATATGTATGTTAACAAAGAACATAACAGGAAGAAGACTTTGTTGTAACAAGCTAAAAAGAATTAGAAAAGTTTATTGAATGAGAACATATCCCTTAATGGTTATTTGCACTACTATAAAAGCTATTCAGCAGCAATGAGTTATCTTACTTTCACATATGGTCATCTACAAAAATCTCTTTGAACAAAGTAATGTGTTTTTTTTCTCTGTAATATATTTATAATATTGGCTTCATATTGTTAAAAAGATAGATCCTTAGATCAGATCCTTAGATCTATACAGTTCTTAAACTGTTTATGAAAATTCATTATTTATGATGAAATTGTAAGATTTTCAACTTTGGAGTCACAGAAACTTTTCTGCCTTTTATGCTATTTCCACTACCTGTCACAAATTTTTTGCAAATAAATAATATATTGCAGTGCATAATGTGTTGCAGAATATCACTTTTTTTAAAAGATTATGTAGGCTAAATAAAAATCTTAGTGTTAATTTTCTTCTTTGTCTTGTCTAGCCTGTCCAAAATTGCTGCACCCTTTTATATGCTGATCATCATGTTTTGTAAATTGTAAAATAATTATACTAGCTTTATTAGCTTTATAACTATATTAGCTTTATAACTATATTAGCTGTGCATATAATCTATACATATAATAAAATTGTAACTAAGCCGAATCTGTATAATAAATATTTTTTGGAAAATCTTGTTGAAATAGACATTATTATCGATACAGAGGCTGAATCTATAGTATTTAGAATTTTTGTCCGTCTGTCTGTCTGTTACCGCATCACAGAAAAAGTACTGGAGAGATTTTGATGAAATTTGGTATGATGATAGCTGGTTATCCGGGTCAACATATGGGATACCTTTTACCGCAGGAATATATCTCAATTTTGAGAAAAAATACAAAAACTGTTATGTTAGAGTATGCTAATATGTAAAACCTAAGAATTTAGTTTTGGTCATCTGAACGCGGACGGAGCCATGAGCAAAGCTATTTCACATAAAAGAATTAAATCAAGTCTGGGTACTGTAAAATGGGAAATTATATTAAACTTATATTTTCTTGTACAAATAATTTCAATGTTACATTTTAGAAATAACCAATAATTCAATCAAAAATACAAAAGAAACATCAAAGGAGTCACATGGTTGTGTATGGCAAATTGTAAATAAATATTACCAAGTTGATGTGGAGCTCTATCCAGTAGCCGACAGCGACACTCTGCCACCATCCTTGACAGAACGACTTGAGGCTCATATTATCTATATAACAGATGATGAGGTTTGTACCTATTGCAATTATCATTGAGCTGTAAATGGATTATTGACCTAGAGTGGTTTGATTTTATCTTTAGTCTGTATTTGTGTGTGCTCTCTAATATTGACAACTGAAAAAAATTGCATGCAGTTCTTGCTGCTATGATGTATATTTATTCAGAAAGATTAGTTTATTATAATTGCTTTTTCACTTTTAGGAGCTAAGCAATGGCAAGATTAGATTTTGATGATTATTTGAAATAAAATATTAATATTTATAAAAAAATATTTTACCTTAAATACTTAGAAAAAAATTGCTTTGTATATGTCATTTAGTTTTATAGTGTAGATATTTAAAAATAAAATTATTGTAAAAAAAAAAGGTTTAATAAAAAACATATTATTTTTTAACATTTTGTTTCTTATTTATCTACACAGGGATGTCTCGCAACAAGGTTTTATATCCTATAAATTGTGTAATGAAATCAATTATTTTTGGGTTTGATTGAATTTAAAAGTTTCTTAGAGCATTTAAATAAAAGCTTGTTTTAGAAAATGTGTTTTTACAATAATTTTATTTTTTAGTTATTCATACTCTTCTCAGCAAACCCTTTTATTTAATATCCATATCATGACGGTGCATAAAAACACATACTTTGCAATCTTTGGGAGTTGCTTATTGTGTTTCGCTCTTCGAGCTCTTTAATTTAATGCACATATTATAAGGTACACTATGGAATTGATAAACGGCCATTTTGTGACATCCGGCTTATTGGAATTAGAATGACGTTACTTTATTTACTATGTTCTACTCGTCAAGCCCTTTTATTTGATACCCATATCATAGGGGTTAATGTGGAAATGACGAACTGAAAGGAAAAATTAACTGAAAAATGGTGGCATTTAGGTAAATGTGCATTGTCTCGGGAACGAGTGTGCCAAATTTCAGCTCAATCGAAAACTAGGAAGTGGGTCTAACTTGCAATATTCCATTACACACCGGACCGGAGAAACTAAATTTAAGCTTAAAACTCGCGATCGTTAGCCTATCTTAACATTGCACGCAAATCGCAATGTTAGGCTAAAAAAATATTATAATTTAATGAATGTAAATAGTAGCGTAGCAACTCCTTACTATAAAATGGCAAATGCACTCGCAAAAAAATACGGCAGCGGTTGCAGCATGGTAATACGCTTGCTTTGGAAACCGAGTGAAGCGGGTTCAAATCACCGTTCTCGCACCTTTGATATTTTTATGTACGAATCATTTCCGACATGGTTATTATGTACTTTTTTTACGGTGAAGGAAAACATCGTGAGAAAACCTGCATGTCTGAGAGAACCTAATAAGTTTTCGAAGACATGTGAAGTCCACCAATTCGTACTTGGCCAGCGTGGTGGACCACGAACAGGGCCCAGCAGTGGATCGTTCAAAAAGGGCTGAATACACAATATAATAATAATAACAATGTACAAAATTATTGTATGACAACATTAATCCCTCAAGGAATTAACTTGATTGCGATTACTATTGGCTGGGGTTGGTTTGTTCGAGCAGGAGGGGGACTTGGGCGCGGAGCGCGCGGAGCAGCGCTGGGCGCGGGCGGGGGCGGCGGTGGGGGCGGCGGGCGTGCGGCTGGCGGTGGCGGCGGGCGCGCGCGCGGCTCCTGCGCTAGCGGCGTGGGCGCGGCGCCGGCGCTACGAGCCCGTGGCGCTGCGCGAGGCGGCCGGCGACGATGACGCGCGCGCCGACGCGTGCGGCGCCGAGCGCGCGCGCGCCGCGCTGCACGCGCACACCTGGCGCGGCCTGCGCCGCATCGATGCACCCGCCAGGAGTTTCCTACCTCTCGGTCAGTGTCACGACATGTTTTAATAATTATAATTTGCTAATTTTTTTGAAGCGACGGTTGCCGTGGCGCTTTCTAGTGTCGTCGATATATCATGAAGAGGCGCCTTTTCATTCTGTACGAGGCCAGAACGCGACCATAGGAAACTGCTCGCGTACATTGTAATGTTATTTTTAAATCTGTGACTACAATCTACAGACTGATTTTGCGTATAGTTTATAACGTGGAAGCGCGCGTCCTTTTCCCAAACTATACTACAACACTTATACCTGAATAGTTTTAAAGATATAATTTAATTAAGTCATTGATTTAATATTTTCTTAGATTTACGCGAATGTTTGACATTATTAAATAAAACTATCTTTTCGGATTATTTCTTCGAATGCTTTACAGTATCCATGGTCACGGGAGAGACTCTCCCGTGACCATGGATGCTGTAAAGCATTCGAAACGTTGGGAACCAAAAATCAAAATAAATCCGCGAAATAATCCGAAAAGATAGTTTTATTTAATAAGTCATAGATTAATATAAGACGCATTCTGGAGTGGTGGTAATAGAAAGTTAAGAATAGAATGTCACCAGTCTTTTCTTTTCTCAAGTAGGTACGCGTTATATTTATTGGTGTGTTCTCAAATATTATATTTATTTATTGGTGTAGCGTTCGGTGGTATCACATGCATTACACTAAGTATTCGATTAAAACGTATAAAGTATGAACCGAACAACCGCAGATCCCTCGGGCGCGACGTCGTCGGACGAGGAGTACGAGGGGGAGTGGGACGGGGAGGAGGGCGGGGAGTGGGAGGTGGAGGTGGAGCGCGCGGAGGCGTTCGCGGAGGCGCTGGGCGCGCTGGGCGGCGCGCGCGCGGCGGCGGCGCGGCTGCCCGCGGCGGAGCGCCGGCGCCGCGCCGAGCGCCTCGTGCGCGCCTTCTGCCGCGCGCTCGGCGCCGACCTGCACGCGCTCTAGGGTTCATGCCTGAGTATAATATACATGTTCGTGTTTTATGTGCCATTTTTATTTTATTACCTTCAGTTTCGAGCTTCGAGGTATTTAAGATTAAATCACTAAGTTCGCAAAAACTCGTTGTTACCATATTATGTTTACGTCTATAGATTTCTATTTCAATAATTTGCATATTCCGCTATGGATGGCGTCTCTGAGTACGTTTTATGTATAGGTATATTAAAACGTGAAACAACTTTGTACGAAAATTGCGCGCCTTTTTACGAAAATTGCGCGGATGGAGGAGTATGAAATTTCCCACACTTAGGTATAGTTTATATAGAGAAGGAGTATAAAATTCTATGCGTGATGCTAATGAATGCTATGAATGAATTTTAAAGCAGTTATCTTCAATCGATGGAGCTGAAATTTTGCATAGACGTTTAGTTTGTATGACAATGCACGATTAGCTAAGTGACGTCATTCTAAACCCAACATGGCGGACTTCCTATGATGGCGGACTATTTTTTTATGCACCCCCATGATATAGATATCATATGAAAAAGTTTGCTGAGATGAATACGAATTAAATAAAATATAAAAAAATAAATGAATAGTACAAAAACAAAATTAACTTTAAATTAAACCCACCAATTTATTACATTACATAATTTATATTATACTAGCATTGCCCGTGGCTCCGCCCGCGTTCAAATGACCAAAAACCAAATTCTTAGGTTTTACATCTTATATGTCATCAGTATACTCTTACATTTTTTCTCAGAAATGAGATATTTTCTCGCGGTAAATAGTATCCTATATGTTGACCCGAATAACCAGCTATCACCATACCAAATTTCATCAAAATCTCTAGTGGTTTTTCCGTGATGCGGTAACAGACAGACAGACAGAAGGAATTCTAAAAACCGTTGATTCGGCCTCTGTATCGAAAATAATGTCTATTTGAATAAGATTTTCCAAAAAATATTTAATGTACAGATTCTGCTTAGTTAGAATTGTATTATATGTATAAATAAAAGCTTATTGTGAGATTTAACTGTGTGGACAAACAAAATATGTCTCCGACTACTTAATACTATGTACTATTTCATACGCTCTATGTTACGTGTTCTTCAAAGCGCGAGGCCGCGGCAACGGCCGCGTCGCCCGCGCCTTACGCCGCCTGAGTGTAGAAAGCTAATACATATTTTTATATAAAATACATTAAATTAATTTAAATAAACATTTTGTTTGTGAACCTATCTGTTTATTTTCAACCGACTTCCTCAAAAAGGAGGAGGTTCTTCCCCGTTTAGTTATTTTTTACAAGTCCCTGGAAGTCTTTTTAAGTTTTTATTTGTTTTAGCTATTGACGAGTTCTAGTTTTATAAATAAAAAATATCATGGTCGAAGTTCGAACACTCGGCGAACTCTAGACAAAAATAGTATCTGTGAGTGTACTTTAGAAGATAGACAAACTTTTTGTATAATAGATTATAGAGGACAGAGGTACTATTTTAATCAACAAATAGGCACTAGGGGAAGTCAAATGAAATAAAATGATTTGGTATGCATAATATTTATTCAATAAAAACGATAAAAACTCAGATATGTAGGGCGCGGCTACACGAGTACGACAACAAGGTATAAATTGCACCAAGCGACGGAACAAGCGCGGCCGTGCTCTGCTCGTGCTCTAACATCACAGATTCGTATATTATTATCTCTTTGGACGAATGTACATATTATATATTTAACTCTTATAAAATGTATATAACTCATTTTGCTTTCGCTTCGTATAAACAAACTCACTCAGTCGGTCGATTTGTAAATATAAACCTACGATCGTAGGCCTCTGGCTGGCGTCACGAGACTACACTTATCTATATACATATAAACTATTTATAATAGGTACTCTTCCCTGCATCTCCCGCTAGCTTACGTCTCGCCAGACCGACTTTACAATATTTTCCTCAGCAATATCACAACAGGTACATAAATAATCTTCAAATAATCAACAATTGTGCGAACAATCTATATAATAGGTACTTTGTTTCTAAATGCCTCACAAGTGACAGTGCTGGCTGCGCGCTGGAGCTCGAATCGACCTATAATTGACTTGTGCTTTACGACTCTTCAAATATAAACTTAAAATAATTGCGGTCAGTATACGAGTAGTGGTTTCATGACGACGCGAAGGAATCCAAGTGATTTATAAGTAAATAAACATTCGTATTTAAGTCAAACGAGTGCGATAAGAAGTAGTAATCTGCGTAGATAAAAATAAAGTTAACAACTAGTGATAATACTCGGAATGGCCGTCGGCGGGCGCGCACAGCGGCGGTGCGCGCGGGTCGCGGCGCAGCAGCGCGCCGAAGTACTGCGCGGCCAGCCGCGCGATGTACTGGTCGTGCGCCGCGCGCGCCGGCGGCGCCGGCCACCAGCCCTCCAGGAAGCCGATGTGGCCGCCGCGCGCTGTCACCGCCAGCGCCACGCCCGCGCTGCGCGCCGCCTCCGCCAGCGGCAGCACTCCGTGCGGCTGGAACGGGTCGTCGCCCGCGCACAGGCACAGCAGCGGCACGCGCACGCGCGCCAGCTTGCCGGCCAGCGACGCCTCGCGGTAGTACGCCTCCGCGGACGCGAAGCCGAAGTGCTCGGCCGTGAAGGCGCGGTCGAAGGCGCGCACGGAGCGGCAGCGCTCCAGCGCGGCGCCGCCCGCAAGCAGCGGCGCGTGCGCGCGCACCGTGTTGCGCAGGTTGCGCGCCATGTGCCACGACAGCAGCGCGTTGAGCGGCCGCTCCATGCACTCGGCGCCGCGCGTCACGTCCAGCGGCGACGACACCACCAGCGCGGCCGCCAGCGCGCGCGCCGCCGCCTCCGCGTGCTCCGCCAGGTAGTGGCCCAGGATGAGCCCGCCCAGCGACACGCCCACGGCCAGCAGCGGGCCGCGCGCCGCGCCGCGCACCGCCGCCACCACCTCGGCCAGGTCGGCGTGCGAGAGCGCGCAGTAGAGGCGCGGCGTGGTGAGCGGCAGGCCGCCGAGGCCCGCGGTTGTGGAACACGACGCAGTGCACGCCGAGGCGGCGCGCGGCGGCGGCCAGGCAGCGCACGTAGTCGGCCTGCGCGCCGCCCGTGAGCCCCGGCAGCACCAGCATCACGGGCCGCGCCTCGCCGCCCGGCACCTCCGCCCAGTCCAGCGCCACCTGCCCGCCGTCCGACAGCCGCAAGACCTCACTGTTGGACACGGAAACCGGTCGACATTAAATCATTATATAATATGTACATTGTACGAAGAGAATAAGAAGGAACTTCATAAAATATGTAACAGATGAACAAAAGAACATGATTATAGATAATAATTGTAAAAATGGATACAGTAGATATCTTCAAAAAGTGCATAAAAATGGCTTTGGTGAGTTTAAGTAATGGCACAAAACTTCTAACAAACCATTAAATAAACTTCCCATTTAATGACCAACATCTCGTTCTTCTAGTGTTCATTAGTAAGCACAACACACAAGAATAGCTGAACTGATATAACCATTTATGAAACAAAGATCCTTATCGCATGTTATACTCGGCACACATGGTGAATGGGAGCTAGTTGTAAAAAAACTAAATATTTAAACTGTTGTAAGCAATGTGTCCAGCTCCTAAAGCCGTTTCTATAATGCCATCAGCTTTCTCAGCGTTATGTAATTGCCACAGTGCGGCACAAGTCTGTTATATCACTTTCTCTCTATTATGACCATAAAAACTTAAAAAAAAAACCAACTTCCAAGCACTAAAATGTAACAAATAACTAAATCGGGGTTTGGGATGCTAGCTGATGTAAAGCAAATCTAATATATTTCAATACATAAAACACATATTTACCTATTAGATATTCATTTTTTAAAATATTGTCAGCTGGCACCGACTTTGAAAATATCTGATGTGGTATCTATCCTAAATTAAAACCCCCGTTTAGTTATTTTTTATATTTTTGTGCCTGGAAGTGTTTTTATTTGTCCATTTTTAGTGTAGATGTAATAAGCAGGTAATTTGTTAGAAGAAAGTTTTTTAATATCATGTTGTGTTGTATGTGTTCTATATTCACATATATCACAAATTTGAAATAAATATTATAAAATAAGAATACCTTGAAAATTCTTTTTCTACTTAAATAAAGCAAATTTTATTCATATTTGGCAACATGAGTGTAGGGTTGGCTAGTTTTATATAAATAATAAAAATAAGCAAGATTAGAATAATCAGAATATCTGGTTTTCCTATAGGTTAGTTAATGCTCCATTTTTTTAAATACGAAAGAACTAAAAACTGAAAGATATAAAAAAAACTAGATAGCAATAGACACTAAAAAATTACAACAGTAGATATTAAGATAAGTCTGATAATAATATATAGTCAATGATGACTAATAAAGGTGAGTAATAAATACAAGGTTATATAAATTGGTAATATATAAAATAAATTTGATATATACTAAAACTAGATATGGTTGGATGGTTAGTAGTGGAATAGATAGACTATATATACATAGGTATAATAATTTTTATATCTTTTACTTGAGAAATTATTGATTTAGCATACAAACTTCCACCCCCTTTTCACCCTTAAGGGGTGATATCTAGGGTAAAAACTATCCTATGACCTTGCCAGGGTCTCAAACTAACTTCATATCAATTTTCATCTAAATCTGTTCAGCCATTTAGTTGTGAAAAGGTAACAAACAAATAAACAAACAGAGTTACTTTCTCATTTATAATATTAGTATGGATATTTTTGTTTAAGAATTAAATATTCTATAGCAATGTTATCACAGGTAGTATAAAAAGTTAAATCTAATATAAAAGTACCATCCCCTTAATGGTCTTACCGTCTATACTCTATACGAGGAAGTAAATATGACCGTAGTACTGAGCCTATTACAGTCTGTAATCGAGACTCCACGCACCATGGTGTAGGCCAGTATGGTTCACTTAACAGAGGGACATTCTCTTCTAAGAACTGTCGAAACTCTCCTTTGCGACATATCAATATAGGTTTCTAAAAGTAAAAAGAAAAACATTCTGTAAATGTATTGATGTACAATATGGTTCTTTAATAATCAAGTTGATTGATTTTACCTTGACTACTTCCACAAGATAATAGGTTATGTACAGTATTGATAACGATATACACACTAGAAACTCCTTCTTAACTTCGAAAATATACAAAAAAACTCCTAACATTGTTAACGCTATCCCAAAATAAATATTTAATCATAAACTAAAATGCAACAACATATTTAATAACTAACGTCTAAATATGAACAGAACACGTACAGAAAAGTTAAAATTTTGTTCTGCAAGTTCATAATATTTCTTTGTCAACTTCAAAGTCAAAATAAATGTCAGAATTTCCGTAATATTTCTCTATGGTCAGAATCACATTGGTCTAGATTCTAGAATACCTGGTGATTTCATAGAGATAATTAAAATATCTCTATGGGTGATTTCCTGTATTATATTATAGACCTATTATTATTTATTATTCATCTATGATTAATATAGTAGTTATTTTTGGACGTAACATTTGTTGGATATTTCTTACCGTAGAATCTACGGTCATAAGTATCCAACAAATGTTACGGTGTAATTAAATAATTAATTAAACGCTTATTACTTTCGTACATACAGTGATATATACTTTTATAAGTAGCAATATAAAATTCAATTTACCTACTATCTGCATAAAAATATATACAGACTATATAATTATTTTATCTTCATCTACCGTAGTTAAATCCGCAACTTGCTTAGATTTTATTTATTCTGAATTTTAATTACATACTAGCATTGCCCGCGGCTCCGCTCGCGTTCAGATGACCAAAAACCGAATTCTTAGGTTTTACATATTAGTATACTCTTACATTGCAGTTTTGTATTTTTTCTCAGAAATGAGACATAAAAAGTGTCCTATATGTTGACCCGGATAACCAGCTATCGCCATACCAAATTTCATCAAAATCCCTCCAGTGGTTTTTCTGTGATGTGGTAACAGACAGACAGACAGACAGACAGACAGATAGACAGACAGACAGACAAAAATTCTAAAAACTATAGATTCGGGCTCTGTATCAATAATATTGTCTATTTCAATAAGATTTTCCAAAAAATATTTAATGTACAGATTCGGCTTAGAATTTTATTATATGTATAGATTGTATTTTTTGTACTATTTAAACTGTCAACATGGCAGTCGGCAACTGTCAAATGTCAATGTCTAATTTACATAATAGAACAGATGTCAAGTTAACACCACAAAATTTGCGAATGCGTATTGCTTGCTCCCACCACATCATTCTGGCAGACTTCCAGACGTTCTTTTTTAACAGAGAGCATATTAATTTGCAATTTCCTAACTAATGGTGCTTTACTGCTTTGTTTCTCAATATTGAAAAAACTTTGTTAGTACATAGCTCTTAAACCCGCACTAGCTAAATAATAATTATTTCTTTCTTAGATTATTTGTTATAATTTTAGAATAGAATTACATTAAATTTACAATGAAATAGAGACACGATACAAGTGATTTACCTTTTATTTATTTGTTTTTTGTTTGTGTATTATAATTTGTGGAAATGAAGGGAACAAAATTGCTAACATGCGCGGGCCGCTGTGTCGGCAGTCGAAGCAACAAGCTGTTTGCAGTCCGCAGGTGAGACCAAAATCCACGTATTGTGCGCTATTCTGTTATTCGTGACGATGTACCTTGGACTTTGTACTATTGCCCAAATACTTATGTGGGACATTTCAATAACAACATATTAAGTATAATTAGAAATAATTTGAGATAAATTATTATGTTAAACAGTTTTTATTAAGTAGTAATTGTTTTTTAAAGATTATTTCAATATAAACAAGATTGCATTAGAAATGTTAATTGTTGTTGCTAAAGAATATTATAATTTTCTTTTGAAAACTCCATGAAGTATGTTTTTAATATTATTTATGGTAGTAAATGAGAATAGTTTTTCAATATATGTTACAAATGCTTAGTCTATTAATAAAATTGACAATTCAAAAGTGATTGAGTGAAAAAAAGTGAGTAAAATTGACAATTCAAAAGTAAGTTCTTGTAATAAGTATTTGAATAAAATTTCATTTCATATAACAACTTTCAAAAAAAGGTGTCTAAAAGTTACTTGTAATAAATAAATAATTACAATACTTAAGACTCGAAATCAAAATTTGCTTCATTCAATGGGACTTTTAGAGGTGCTTTTGAATTGTCAATTTTATTAACAGTGTGCCACTGGCTTGGATTGTAGTTCTGCAGAGAAGAGCAGATATGATACTCAACATTAGTTCTTTTAAATGTGAAGTTACCTTAGTTCTAATGCAATAATATAATGGGCAATAATTATACAAGCCAATTCATTTTAATTCATCTGCAACAAACTGGAACAATGTGCCTCATATAAGTAATAAATTTTTAATTTTATTTTTATAATATTGAAAAGCCATATGCAACACAAAAGTTTTTAATCTATTCTCATAGATGGGGCTTTGTTTACTACATGTACCAGCAGTACTGAAAAATTTGTTTTGCCTTGTATTTTTACCTAAACATTATGAATTTGCTTCCAAACCAATCGAGTGGGGATTCAAAATAAAGGTTTTTCAGAGGTGATCACAAAATATATGCAACTTATATGTTTAAGAGTAATTTAGGATAAAAATATACTAAATATTACTTCAAATGTTTAGTTGGATAAAAATAAAAAGCTGTAAATTATATTTCTAAATAAAAAACCAGTAATAAAAAACTAATGTAATAGATACATAGATGTTTGTGTACATATCGCTACAAGGATGAAATGTGTATGTCTCTGACCACATAATACTATATTCCTTCTTCAACTTGTTTTCATCTTTTTAGTTAGCTTTTATGTTATATAAAATATAGCATATACTTTATACACTTTAGTGACTTATTTTTACATAAAGATGTGAATTTGGTAACACACTTATTTCAGTCGTGGTAAGGCAACTGCGGCGGCGGCCGAAGCGCCTCGTGGAGCGCGTCAGAGCGCATCATTTACTCTGAACCTGTTCCGCGGGCAGTTCGAGCCTTCTCAGGTCTTCCCTTTCCCGGAGCCTCTTACCGAAGACCAGCGCCAGACTCTCGCGGAGCTCGTACCTCCCGTCGAAAAATTCTTTCAAGAGGTACACTCTAACTGGAGTTTATATTCATATAGCGTTTATAAAGTATTTTAAAAATACAATATACTCAACAAAAGTGTCGTGGCCTATCGTCAGGTAAACGATCCCGCAAAGAATGACGCTGACGCGCAGATCGAAGAGGGCACGGTAGCGGGGCTGTGGGAGCTGGGCGCGTTCGGGCTGCAGGTGCCGACGGAGCTGGGCGGGCTGGGGCTGTGCAACACGCAGTACGCGCGGCTGGTGGAGATCGTGGGCGCGCACGACCTGGGCGTGGGCATCACGCTGGGCGCGCACCAGTCCATCGGCTTCAAGGGCGTGCTGCTGTTCGGCGACGAGCGCCAGAAGGCGCACTACTTGCCGCGCGTCACGAGCGGCGAGTACGCGGCCTTCTGCCTCACCGAGCCCTCCTCTGGCTCCGATGCCGGTTCCATCAAGTACTTATGTCTTTTCTATATCATCTATTTTTACGTTTAAAAAACTTGTATATTCAAGAAAACATTCGATCTGAAAGTACTTGTAATATAAAGGTTGAATATTTTAGGTTGCTGGAACTAGCCAACAAAACTGACAGGTCAGTCAGTAATATTCACTTTCTGGTAGTTTGTTCATATAATTATTATATGTTTTTATATGAATGTTGTGTACAGATATAATTGGACAACAAATTTAAAATGATATTTTTAGTTTTTAATATGTAGATGTAATTTTTTTTAATTTGTTTTCTGTTTCTGTACCTTAAAAAAAAAGTATTATAAATGTTACTTGACTGTAGCAAAAATTGTTTTGTTTCTTTTGGTTGTTTTGTTTTGATAGTTTTTGTTTTAAAACGAAATGTCAGCAAGGTTTTTTTTTTCAATTTAAAAAAAAATATATCATAATGTCCGTATCTGAATCTCGTACTCGATATCTCTGGCTCGCGTTGACTTAGGGGCTGGAATTTTTCTGGAGACCTCCAACACTTGTCAAGGGACCGAGAGGTCTTTGGTACAATCAGTTAAAAAAATTGTAAAAGTTTTCTGACTGACCTGCCAGTTTTATTAACTAGTTTCACACATATATGTATATGTTATAATCCAGGATTAATTCCTATACGCTAGATCTATGACATTCTGTTACAAATGTCGCTCACGTTTGTTGCAGGACGCGCGCGGTGCTGTCGCCTGATAGCAAGCACTTCATACTGAATGGATCAAAGATTTGGATAAGTAACGGCGGGATCGCTGAAATTATGACTGTCTTTGCGCAGACACCCGTAGAGAAAGACGGGAAAACTGTTGATAAAGTGAGTCGGTGTCAACTCTGATACTAAATAAATATCTATTTCATCACAGTTATTAATAAATATTCGACTCGACTTTAATGCTGTCTTACAATACTTATGTAAGTAGTATTCGCATGTATACATATAGGACTTGGTTGTGCGCAGGTGACGGCGTTTATCGTGGAGCGCGGGTTCGGCGGCGTGTCCTCCGGCCCGCCCGAGAACAAGATGGGCATCCGCTGCTCCAACACCACGGAGGTGTACTACGAGGACGTGAAGGTGCCCGTGGCCAACGTGCTGGGCGGCGTCGGCAACGGCTTCAAGGTGGCCATGAACATCCTCAACAACGGGCGTTTCGGCATGGCGGCGGCGCTGGCGGGCACGCAGCGCGCCGCCCTGCGCCAGGCCGCCGAGCACGCCGCCACGCGCGTGCAGTTCGGCAAGCGCCTGTGCGAGTTCGGCGCCGTGCGGGAGAAGCTGGCGCGCATGGCCATGCTGCAGTACGTCACCGAGTCGCTGGCCTACATGGTCAGCGGCAACATGGACGCCGGCGCGCAGGACTACCACCTCGAGGCCGCTATCTCCAAGGTTTTCGCCTCCGACTCAGCCTGGACCGTGGTGGACGAGGCCATCCAGATCCTGGGCGGCATGGGCTTCATGAAGGCCGCGGGGCTCGAGCGCGTGCTGCGCGACCTGCGCATCTTCCGCATCTTCGAGGGCACCAACGACATCCTGCGCCTGTTCGTGGCGCTGACGGGCATCCAGTTCGCGGGCTCGCACCTGCAAGAGCTGATGCGCGCGTTCAAGAACCCCACGGCGCACCTCGGGCTGATCTTCGGCGAGGCGGGGCGGCGCGCCGGGCGGGCCGTGGGGCTCGCGCGCGGCGCTGACCTGGACCCGCTGGTGGCGCCCGAGCTGCGGCCGGCGGCGCGCGAGCTGGCGCGCCGCGTGCTGGAGTTCGGCGCGTGCGTGGAGGCGGCGCTGCGCAAGTACGGGCGCGGCGTGGTGGATGAGCAGCTCGTGCTCAACCAGCTGGCGGCGGGCGCCATCGACGCGTACACGTCGGCGGCCGTGCTGGCGCGCGCGTCCCGGGCGCAGCGCCGCGGGCTGCCGGCGGCGGCGCACGAGCTGCGCCTGGCGGAGGCGTGGGCGGAGGAGGCGGCGGCGCGGCTGGGCGCGCTGCCCGCCGCGCTGGCACCGGCCGCGCTGGGCCGCGGCGCGCGCCTCGCCGCGCTGGGCGCCGCCGTGGCCGACGCCGGCGGGCAGATCTCCCGCTCGCCGCTCAACCTCTGAGCGCTCGCCCGAGCGCTGTGTAATATAACGGATCATCATATTTGTATAGATTTTAAATTATTTTGAACAATATATTTTTGCAGAAGAATGTTCTTTTCTTACCTTATCGAATGTATAGTATTTTTTGTTATTTTACTCAGAGACAGAGACGATGAGTAGAAATGAAATTTTGCCGACTTCGCTGATTTACGCGATTTTATGAACGCTATTCCACAGTTCAAAAACATTTTTTCTATAAGTGTAAATACATCATATGAAAGATCATTTCAATTATGATCTAATGTGTGGCCTCCTTTTTTATTTTTAGTATTTAATTTTGAATTATCGACCTCAAACCTGCGACTGAAAAGTGAATTTTTGCTGTAAGAGGTTTAGGGTGTCCCCAATTACGGATTGTGTTGACCTCTAAATAATATGAAAAAATTACAATGTATTGTTGTAAAAGTGTTGTATACAATGTGTGAATCAGTTTTTACAACTTTCATATAAAATTGTTGAATGAATAAATACTAAACTTAGACAAATTTTAAAGATAATGAAAGTATTTCTGGTATATTTGGCTACATAGATCACTCGTTCAATAAAGAAAATTACAGAAATAAACTTCAGTTCAAGGACTATTCATATCTTAAATAAGAAATTAAATGTTGAAAGCTATACTATCAAAAAATCTTTTAAAACGACTAAAACTCGCAATATATTACTCGACGCAAGCCACGAGTCAACAGACCGCGCCGAGCCGAGCGCTTCTCGGGGGTGGATGTATCATACTGCGCTCCGATGTCACGTGACTAGACCTGAGTGTAGCGACGTGTATAGCTCGACACGAGTTTGTGATACTTCTGTAAAAAATAGTTTATTTAGATTTTTAATACAAGTAATAGAGTATAGGTTATTACTCATATTTAAATGTCTAATTTCGTTTAATGTATTTTAGTATAAGTACCTACGTATTCTACTACTACTATTTTCTCAATACTAATATATAAAAGCGAAAGTAACTCTGTCTGTCCGTCTGTTACCTTTTCACGCTTAATCCGCCGATTTAGACGAAATTTGGTATGAAGATAATTTGAGAACCTGGGACGGACATAGGATAGTTTTTACCTCGGAAATCATCCCTTAAGGGGGTGAAAAGGGGAATGAAACTTTGTATGGGGAATCAATCATTTCTCAAGTAAAGGATATAAAACTCATCAGACCTATGTGTGTGTATATATATATCTAATATATTTTAACGAGCACATCTTGCATATAAATATATATATATATACATATGTATTTCGATATGTAAAATACATATTTACCTATTATAGATATTCATATCTTAAAATATTGTAGGCTGGCACCGACTTCCCGTAAGAAGAGAAATAGAACAAATCCAGATTTTTTTCAAAATTTTTGTTTCTCTGTCTGTTTGTACCGGCTAATTTCCGGAACTACTGGACCGATTTAAATAAAATTTTGCATATAACCTTATATCCTCGGTCAACATCTAAGATACTTTTCATTGCGGAAAATTAAAGAGTTCCTGTGGGATAGTTAAAAAACTATAGTAACTTATACAGCTTAGTACACAACTTATGCACCTAATTTAGTGAAATTTGGTATGCTGATACTTTATATTGCCGGTCAAATAACAGGTTACTTTTCATCCTGGAAAAATGAACGATTGCCGTGGGATAGGTTTGTTCTTGTCTTCCATAATTTTCATACATATAATAAAACTGTAACTAAGTCGAATCTGTACATTAAATATTTTTTACAAAATCTAATTGAAATAGACATTATTATCGATACAGAGTCCGAATCTATAGTTTTTAGAATTTTTGTCTGTCTGTCTGTTACCGCATCAGGAGAAAACCACGCCAGATTTTGATGAAATTTGGTATGATGATAGCTGGTTATCCGGGTCAACATATAGGATACTTTTTACCGCGGAAAAATATCTCATTTTGGAGAAAAAATACAAAAACTGCATTGTAAGAGTATACTAATATGTAAAACCTAAGAATTTCGTTTTTGGTCATCTGAACGCGGGCGGAGCCGCGGGCAATGCTATTATTAACAGCTTCTTCAAAAATTTAATTAACATTGAAAATAATAATAATCAGATATTCTTATTTCAAGTAATTACAAATTATAAAATAATATTATTTGTACTTCAAAATTTGATAAACATCTTTAGCTTTTGTTTTTTAAAAGTTTTATTCTGTCAAAGTTTAAACTACTTATCAAAAAGCTTAAATATTACCAAATTTCTACTATTTTCAATATCATACAGTTAATTTAAAAAATATATAAAAATATTTTTAATAGTACTTATATTATTGTCATACTGTAAACATTAGAAACACGCTCTACTTTCCACAGAAGTGCTACCCTCTATAGTTCGGGCACGATCCCTATATGTATTTGTTACGCTGTCTCTTTCACACATTTGGCAATGTGGTTTAAATAAAATAATAAATGAGCGAGCATGTGTGCTGTCGCTGGTGCCGGAACTCTTCTTTCGTTAGTTTTGTGAACATTTATCAGATCTGAAAAAAGCGATCACTATCAGGATCCAACATAAATATAACACTAACTAGTACTGTAACAGTAATCACTGTATTTATCTCTTTAAAAATAAACTCACAAAACAATATTCTATTGACTCAACTCATAGTATCAATGTGCATCTTTAATAACGCTATGTAACTATGCCGTAGTGCCATCTATCGACAAACTGTGACAACTAACCTAATTAAACAGATCTGTATCTATTATAAAACATCATTGTGAGAAAAGAGGCATAACTGCAAGGTAAGCTATTAGTAGATCAGAAAGGAAGAAATAAAAGTACAATAATTTTCTTTAAACATTTTATACTTAACTAAGCGAGAACCGTCATATTTACAAACGTTTAATCACATATGTGTAACTGTACACTGTACACAATATCGCGGGGGAGGTCAGACGTCGATCTGCAGCGAGGTGTCCCAGGCGCGCGCGTTGACGAGCTTGAGCGTGGAACGCAGCGCGGCGCCCGGGCCCAGCGCCAGCGTGAGCGGCTGCGGCTGCCCCGCCGGCCGCGCGTACAGCGCGTGCAGCGCCTGCTCCCAGCGCACCGGCGCCGCCGTCAGCCGCGCCAGCCGCCGCCGCGCGCCCGCCGCGTCGCGCACCGCGCGCGCATCCACGCACGACACCACGCGCACTCGCGGCGCGCCCACCGCGCACTGGCGCAGCGCCGCGCGCACCGCCGACTCCGCGCGCGCCATCAGCGCGCAGTGGAAGGCGCCCGCCACGCGCACGCGCGCGCTGCGCCGCACGCCCCACGCGCGCCCCGACCGCTCCACGAACTGCAGCGCCTGCCGGCACCGAACGAACGATAGCTACAGTTCCACCGACCATATTATGGGTGGTTAGAAATAGGTAGTGCCAACCTCATATCACATATTTAATTATTATTCATTTTTCAAATAGAGTGTCTAATTTTGCTCAGCAATACGATATAGAGTCATGGCTCACCTCTTCGTCGCCCGCGAGGACCTTGCAGCCGGGGAACAGGTAGTTGGCGACGGCGCAGACGGGGTCGGGCAGGCCGGTGGCGGCGGCGTGGTCGCGCGCGGCGGCCAGCAGGCGCGGCAGCGCGGCGTCAGGCGCCAGCCATACGGTGAGCATGCCGCCGCGCCGCTCGGCCGCCGCCGCCGCCATGGCCGCCGCGCGCAGCTCCACGAGGCGCAGCGCCTGCTCGAACTGCAGCGCGCCCGCGAACACTAACGCCGTGATCTCGCCCAGCGAGAAGCCGGCCGCGGCGCGCACGCGCTCCACGGCTGCAGGCCGCGTGTCGCGCGCGAGCTCCAGCGCGCCCAGCGACGTCACCAGCACCGCCGTCTGGCAACGCCGGTCCAGCTCCTCCGCCGGGCCCTCGCGACACACGCGCCCCACGTCCCATCTGAGATCCACAGTAAAATCCTAATGTTTATTGTAAGAGTAAAACATAGAATGATAGATTGGTAAATGCTTTATTGTACACACAAAAAAAGAAAGCAATCTTATTGCTATGAGCAATCCCTTACAGATAACCTTTGGTAAAAGGATTAGTGGAACTGTAAATTGGATGGTATAATAATTAATATTAATAAATAAATATGTATATTATAAAAATAAAAAATGAAATCTAGCAGCCCCGATATTTAATTTTTTTTTACGTCACCTATCTAAAAGAACACTTGGACCAATGATATGAATGTAATGATGCCTTAATTAAAGAAATCCATCGAGTGGCTTGGAAGATATGAGGGAATAAAGAATATTACAAACAAACATACAAAGATTGGGGGGAAAAACATAATCCTTTCTTTGCAGTCGGGTAAATATATACAAGCTTAATGATGATCATGATGATGATGATGATGATGATGTGCTCCTAGCCGATTTCGGCTACGGCGGCCAATCTCATTGAGATTAGCCAACTGCGCAGGAGATATTATAGTAATCAAGTGTACGCGCAGACACAAGTGCACTCTCTATTCCTAACACTCTCATACTCCGGTGGGACGACCACTCGACACGACCAGTGAGAGTTAAGGCGCAGGACCGACGGCTTTTTACGTGCTCTCTGAGGCTCGGGGGTGAAACACCGCCAACTTCCCAACTCCAGGCTGTTACTGAGACTTACTAGACAGAAAGACCAATAACTAAACTTGGCCCGACCCGGGACTCGAACCCAGGACCTCCGGGTGTGCAGCCGTACATGCTAGCCACTACACCACCGAGGCAGTACAAGCTTAATAATCTACATTTATAATTATACTAGCAGAACCCATGGCTTTGCTCGCATTCAATCTACAAAAAAAAACTCTTTTGATTTATATTATACTAGCATTGCCAAACAAATTCTTAGGTTTTACATATGAGTATACTCTTACATTGCAGTTTTTGTATTTTTTCTTAGAAATGAGATATTTGCCCACAGTAAAAAGTATCCTATATGTTGACCCGGATAACCAGCTATCATCATACCAAAGTTTATCAAAATTTGTCCAGTGGTTTTCTCGTGATGCGGTAATAGACAGACAGACAAAAATTCTAATAACTATAGATTCAGCCTCTGTATCGATTATAATGACTATTTCAATAAGTTTTTTCAAAAAATATTTAATGTACAGATTCAACTCAGTTAAAATTTTATTATATGTATAGATGATGTAGTAATAAATAAAAATGTCTGCACAATAGTGGGCAATAGTCCACATAATTACCATAACTTTTAATCTGCTAACTTTATACTGAATCTTTAATATCATATATAATATATGCACAAACATACCCAACAATGCTAGATGCTAGGTCATATAGCTCCTTTGCGGCAGGGACTTCAAGTAGCCGCTGTCCCATGCCCACACGTTGGGAGCCTTGTCCAGGAAACAACAATACAGTTGTCTCTTTAGGGTCTATATACGATCTAGTTTCTTCTTTACCGTCTGTAGTATAAGGCTGCGTAGCCCATTGTAACTCTCCTTCTGCTGGGACTGCAGCTCCAACCTCTCCAAATGTACTTGCATCTTGTATAAGGCGACGCAGAGGACTGTCATTAATATTTAAAGTTTCATCCGCTTTTGATCCTGCATTGCATATTGAATATCGGCATCTTATGCCGAAGACCAAGCGACGTACTAAGCAATGCATCGAGACATACAATTAATATTAAATATAACCTTAAAAAAGTTTATGCAGTTTGTTTATTTTTAACAAAATATGACAATCATGCATGACATTGACAAATAATAATGTCAATTGACAGATCATCTGTCTCATTTCCAATCGTCATGACTCATGTGTACCTAATTATCTACAATCTACATAAATAGATAGATTATTTATGAACACATGTACATACATACTGGTGAATGTGATTGTACTTTATTAATTAGGAAATAAATTTTTATTTAACATTTTACAACATAATTTTATTAATATTAATTAATTAATAGTACGTGTATTATAATACCCTTAATATTAATTAATCAGCCAGTTTTTTTTTTTATTAAATCTTGCGATCAGTCTTTCAGACTATGAGCAGATGAGATGGTTCTAATGGCATGTTAGGCTCTACTCCCAGTGGAGTCTGCCCTATCTTTACAAAGTCATTCTTCTTTCTGATTGTTCTGGTCGAAAATGTCACGCCGCTTTTTTAATCGGCGGATGCTTTCTGAGATAGTAAGCTGTCCTGCTAGTTTGTTCGGATGCCTTAGCAGCCGTGATTTGTAGTTTTCGCCATGTGTATTTATGTACTCATTGACCATGGGAATATTGAGGATTTCATGGATTTCTTTAGTCTTGATAAACCACGGTGCATTGGATATTTGTTTTAGTATATAATTTTGTGCCCTTTGCAATTTCATTATGTTAGAGGTACTGGCTGATACCCAAAGTTCGATGCCGTATGTCCAGATTGGCTTTAGAATGGTCTTATATATTAGGAGTTTTTGTTTCTTCCAAGAAGCCAGAGAAGACGTCTGTATTTCAGGTTCATTTCTTGCCTTTTAGTTTCGACATGTTTTCTCCATTGTGAGCCTTCGGTCAAGATGCATGCCCAGATATTTTACAGACTCGTGATGTGGGAGTTGGCTGCCGTTTAGGGTAACGGGGTCACAATCATGTTTGCATAATGTAAACGTTATATGCACTGATTTGGATACGCTGGCAGCAATTCTCCATTTGGCTAGCCATTCTTCTGTTTCATTTAAGCTAGTTTGCAAAATGCGAGATGCTTGTGTTGGACATTTGTGCGAGGCAAGTTTATTAAATATATTAAAATTTACCATTTTTCTTTTTTGTAAATTTTACTATAATATATGTATATATAATATACAATAATATTCACATAATCTGTTAGATTTGATTATTTCTAAATATAATTTAAATTCATTTCACTATTATTTAAAAAAATCAAAATATTAAGCAACACTATTACTACATAGATTTACAAATGCAAGATATTAATTTGAAATACTGTAATTTTAGATAATAAAGTCTATTTGTGCTTGAATAAATGGTTATGTTAAATAGTTTACGTATATACTTCTTTTATAATTAAATTCTAAAAGTTTTACTAGACGCATCACTATTCAACCGCTTCATCTACAAGTATGTATCAATAGGTGTGTATAGAACACCTGCTTACGTTTCGCATAATGGACAATGAGCGATACGCGCGCTCTATAGCATATATATATATTCTAAGGCCGAAGCCCTTTAAGGGATGAATTTGAAAAAAATAAAACAAAAAATATATTTCTTTTTTTTTATCATAAAGATAAATTCCACTTTCTGTATTTTTCACACTAAGAATAAAGTTTCATCCAATCTCTAGTCACCTATTTTAACTACATAAGTGATGAATGTCGAAAAATCCTTCCTACTATGAATTTCACGTTTCTACCACCAGCAGCTTACGCTGTGTTGATCCATCAGTCAGGACCATCGCAAGATGCACCTCTTCTCAATTCTTTCTTCAGCCGGTCTAGCTTCTAGGTACAATACATTTCATAGGTAAGATTAGAACACAATAGAAGTAAAAAACCAGGTATAAAGGAGATATCACAATAAATTGCTTAACCGCAGACTGAATGTGAATAGGTTAAAGGCGATACGTATGGCGCCCTCCTTTCGAGAAAGCTTCCCCATTCTTTAATCATTTCATTTAATGTCTAGATTTATGTAATCTATCATATTATTTAATTTTATCTGTGCCTAGTTCTACCATCTGGCAAAATTAGAAATCATTTCTTTGAAATGTCAAGATAAATTTCAGAAATCAGAATAAATTTCTGCGGCTTTAGTATTAAAAATAATAACTACTTACTAAATTGAAACGGCTAACGGCTGTATTGTCTAGTATAATTTTACTATCAATTAGTGGATTTGGATTCTAAGAGTATTGAGTAAATTACTTTTTGATTGGTCGCAAGTAAAACTAGAAAAGGTATGTTAAAAGTTATCTACTAAAAGCAATAAGTATTTGATAGTTTTTGGCTTTCTTATCGTTTAATAATAGTTAATACAAAATATTTCTATGTGTCTCGTTAAAATTTAATCATATCACTCACTTTTATGATATTTCCATGCTGCCTGTCATAATAAAGAAATGATCAATACTGCACAACCATAGAACTATAAATGGCACAATTCTGTATATATGTTGTTGAGTGAAACAAGATGACATTACAAATACTTATATTTATACGTATTTACACAAATATTAAAATAAATGTTGTATATAGTTGTTGTAGTTATATGTTCTTGATCTTAGATATTCCCTTTAATTTAATACATTTTATATCCATATTATCATGTAATTAAATATCTGTGCACTTATTTTTTTTTAGATGTACATTTTTAAATATAAACTTAAAAAACATCACTTTTTAATACCAGATTAATAAAAGGATTATCAGATAATATTGTGTGATTTAAAATGATAAAAACTTGAACAAAACCCAAATATTATCAATGATTAATTATTGTTTAAAGATGGCTCGAGGTCAGCAAAAATTACAATCACAAGCAAAAGCTGCAGAAAAACAGTCAAAGCTAAAAAAACAGCAAGGGCATAGTGCTACAGACCAGAAAAAAGCTGCTCAAAAAGCTCTTGTACATGTCTGTGTCATCTGTAAGGTAAAGATCAACATCTTTATGACTAACGTTTCACATTGTTAGTCTTAAAACCTCTTTAGATTGAACATTTTTTTGTCAATAATTGTTTGTGAAAATTTAAATTAAAAGACATTCGACAACAACAACATTCAACAACAACCTGAATGCAGTTACCATTAACTAAAATATTTTGAGTGGCTGGTGTCCCCTTTTTCGTGTATCAGTATTACTGAAAAACTAGAAAGTATTTCAATTTTTCTAATTATTTATTAATACAAATGTTTTTTTTAAATGCTTCAATTATAGCTTATTTTTCATGGTTATTCAATTATTGTAATATATTAGCAAAATAAAAATACATCGAAACTATTAATTCATTTTATTAGTAAGATATTTTAGTTACAAGTAATAACAGCTGATATAATAATAAATTGTAATGTTGATGTATCACAGAGGACTGACAGTTTGCATCATAATATAATCAATATTATTGTTCCTTTTAGGCCCAGATGCCAGATCCAAAGACTTATAAGCAACATTTTGAAAATAAACATCCTAAAAATGAGCTACCTGAAGACTTGAAAGCTATTTAAAGAAGTTGCCCATTTATCAACATAACACCAACAGTTCTCCTTGCCGGAAGCTTGAGTGATGATGTAGTCTTCAGAGTGACACAAGGATCTATTATGATGATATGTTCATTGAATTGAAACCATTCCATATGAATTTGTTTATCTGGAGGGAACGAGCACAGGTTGATGTTGTGTTGGTAAATAAGAAAAGAATTTTCTAACTAGGTTTAATATCATATATTTTTTATTTATATTAATAGAAAAAGAAAGTACTGTACTATCTTAAAACTTGCATTTCAATTCTCATCGAGTAATAAAATAATGTATTCATGAATAAGCACTGTGTAGTATCTCAAAAAACCCAATGATCACCAGAACGCAAGTGAGCGAGAACACGCGAGCAGGCCGCAGTCGTGCTCCGGTTAAGTTTCGTTCAATCTGCACATATGTATGGTATTATACTTAAAATATACATATTCTTTTCTTAACCGGCTTTGATTGTCCCGACACCCTCACATCTTCTCGTAAGTCTCCACGTAGCCGCAGTCGCAGGCGCGCGAGTACTGGTCGGCGTCCGCATCGTAGGACTCTGGCCCGAAGGCGTGCTCGTGCGCCGACCGGCCGCGCCCGAACAGGCTGGAGCGCACGTCCATGCGCAGCGCGCGCATGCGCCGGCGCTGCGCCGTGGCGGCGGCGCGGTCCCGGCGCGCGTCCCGCTCGGCGCGCTCGCGTTCCAGCGCCGCGGGGGAGCCCCACACGGCTAGCGCGCGCGCCGCCACCTGCGCGCGTAGGTACAGCCGCATCTCCGCGAAGCGCGCGCGGTGCGGGTTGCGGCGCCGCACGCAACGCAGTGGCGGCGGCCGCAAGTCTAGGTCGCAATCCTTCAGCAGGTACTCGCTCTTGGCCTCCGTGCGCGTGATCAGGCTGTGCGCGTCCTCGTCGTCCCTGTCCACGTGCCTCCATGTTTATACTTGCTTCATTAAATTATTTATTATTAAAAAATGTTCATTTAACAGTTATATCTGTAATAATTTCCATTTTGTGCATTGCATATGCAAATAATCATAATATGATTTTGTTTCAGCTTTTTCTGCATTAAACCATTAATTTAACCATAGATGCTATAGCATAAATATTTTATTATATTATGTAAGGCTGTATAAAACATAATCTAGATTAGAAATGTGCAACCAATATTATACTATAATAAATTGCATTGATTGATATCATTTATTTAATCTAGTATCACTTGTTGTATGACTGATTTTAAATCTAATTTTATTATTGTCAATTGAGAAGTTTTCGCAAAATTAAAGTACAAACCTACAAGCATCACAAACACTGTAATCAAATGTATCAAACAGGTAAGACTGGGGAAAGGGTTGATCGCATTCCAGACAGATTGGTTGCTCCGATGGATGCACAATGGGGGCTGGCACTGCACACACTTTGGGCACTACCTCTGGCTCCTCTTCTAATAGAAAGCCACCACCAGAGTCTAGTGCTTGGAATGACTTCTTTACCGGTTTACTTCCCTCATTACTTGAAAAAAATAGGTTCTTTTTTTATTGTTTTTATTTGCTAGTTATTTAATTCTTATAATTAGCGAGTAATAATAAAATATAATGTTAAGATTAGTGCAAAAAATAGTAAGATAATAATTATAACTTATCAAGAACGGCATGCAATGTAAAATAAATTAGAATTACTTTGGTCGCTGTACTAAACGAGCTTCTCTCAATGCTTGAGCTTTCTGTCTATTCCTTTCAGCGCGTGCACGCTGAGCAGCAGTTAAGACGTTACTATCTTTAACATCAATGTTTTCAATGTCAACTTCTTTCGCTGTAATAGACTTTTCTTCTATTGAAATATCTCCGGTTTTGCAATGCTTTTCCATAATTATGTTAATCTAAAATATTTTTTAAACAGGTTACTTAATTTATCGTAAATATGTTATTATTCCTGAATAAAATATAGCTAAATGATATTTAATAATGTATTACCTATCTTGTTATTAAAGTGTTCAACTTATCACCAGATGATGAATAAAAAGTCGTATCTCATTACGAAAATAAATGTTTTTAAAATCAATTGTCTTTTTTTAAATAATAATTTAAATGATTTATAATAATAACTTTGTAAAAGATTTGTTGACTTAAATGCACAGAAGTCAGAACAGAGAACACTATTTATTACTAGAGCTGTAGCAAACCATATGTCAAAGAGTATAGCCGCACAGAGCACAATGTATAGCCGTATGTATTCGTTACTCTTACTGAGTAACGGGTACGCCATCTAGTACCGAGTACCGAAACGTTACTCGCATTTTCCGTATACATTTTCGTACTGATGTTTTTATTGATTTTTTATTCAACAAAATACAATTTTCAGTTAATACCGTTGATGAGTAAATTGGGGAGTTTATTTATTTCGAGTTGCATGATTTCGGATTCTTAGAAATATTGTTTAGAAATAATTTTAAATTAGAAACAACAATTATATTTAGAGCACATTTTTAGTTTTTTATCCAACAAATACTTATAATTTTTACTGAATGATTATGTGTAATACGTACAGATTATGATTTAATAAATCATTCGCGCAATTGATTTTAAAATATAATATATGCATTACGACGTCACACTAACGTGAAAGATGGCGTTACTTTTCATTTTTAAATTACCTATTTTTTATTTATTATTTAATTTCAAAATTTATTCATAAAAAAATATTGTTAGTAAAGTTTTTAAAAATTATAAAGATTTATAAATAATTAAAATTTCTGGGTTCTAGATATCCTGTAACTCTCCAATTGAAATGGTTTGCTGATCGTGCATTATTCCACAGAAAACAACGCGTCGTCAAGTGTCAACGTTTATACCGTACGCCATGGACGAATTAGAGACTAATTCGTTCATGCCGTACGCAATACATACGCAACACGACTCGATGCGATGCTCTACGAGTATGTTATCGGGTATCAAAAGTAACGAGTAACGATTCAAAAGTAACGAGTACTGATGCTATAGTAACGAATGCATACGGGTTCGCTATGTTTCGTTACTTTTACACCTTGATTTATTACTTCCAGTCCCATAGATGACATAATTATTGTACTAGATAACCCCTCAACTGTCGCTGTCATTTTACAAGAATATGGCGCATCTGTCAGTTACTTTCCGAGGGCCTGCGCGAAATATGTACACATCATTAAAATAACAATATTTCTTAAAAATTTTATATGTAAGCTATATATAAAGCTTATATCGTTAGAATCGTTTTAAAATAAACTAAGAATGTATATATAAATAAGTTCAATTGTATTTAATAATATATAGTTAATTCTAAGTTGAAATTACTGAAAGTGATTTTGTATCAGGATATAGTACGAAAACAGGAATTATTACAAAATAAAACTATTATTTTAAAAAGTTATAATTTCATTTAATAATAGATACAATATTTTATATTAATTGATTAAAACAACGCAACTCACTGTACTTTTTTTTTATACCACAAGCTTGTACAATAACATGTCTCCATCATAGCGACTTAGCGCCGGATAAAAAAGAGGTATTTTTTATACTTTAGTTCTGAGAGCATTGAAGATCAAGAGATTTAGGATAATCATTTATATTATAGTTTAGTCCACATACGTTATACTGACATAGTTTGAGTTCTTATAACTATTTAGTTTACGAGAATTAAACAATAAACTAAACACTTTAAAATAAGTACTAACAAACGTCATCTCAAACTTTGGATCGCAGAGCAAATTCTGTTTAAATTTTCATTAAAATATATGAACATCTTACGATTTAGTAATATTTAAAATTAGAAAATATAATAAAAAGACATGTTGCCTTATTAGAATATTTCAGAAATCAATTCTGAAAACTAACAATTTCACTATAAGAATTACAAGGATTACAAGGGACAGGTAAAAAAGTATGGATACGACCAATTCCATCACATCTGAACAGATTATGTTATGGAAATAAAATGATAATAAAAACATTAATACAAATTATAACAACTTCAAATATTAATTCGGACAGGAATTATTTTTTTTTCAACTGTTTTTAACCTCCAACGCAAAACGACGGGAGTTATAAGTTTGACATGTTGTGTGTGTGTGTGTGTGCGTGCGTGCGTGTGTGTGTGTGTGTGTGTGTCTGCCTGTCTGTGGCATAGTAGCTCCCGAAGAGATGATCCGATTTTGTTTTTGTTTTTTCTTTTTCTTTGTTTTTTCTTTGAGTGTTCTTAGCTATGTTTGATGAATATCGGTCCAAGATGGCCGCCGCCACAAAATAGCGGATTACATATTTTTTCACAACTCCCTCAATATGGGTATCAAATGTATTAGGGTTGACTAGTATAATACACACTACGATAAATTTCAAATCATACATGTACATGTCGGGGTTACTTTTAAATTTTTAATTTAAATTTTATAAGACTGAAGTATTGTGCCAGTTACTGTATTGAGTATTTAATGGACTCCATAGTTATAGTAGTAAAAAAAAATATAGAAGAGTATAAAAATTTTGTAATTAGTACTCACAGATGTTTTAAATCTGAAGTTGAAAATTTTGGATGCCTTTTATTAAGTAAAGGACACTTTTTAATGAATATTTTTGGCAGGTAGCAGCTTTTATACATATTTTTTTAATTGAAAAAAAAGATGAGCACCTACCCTAAAAGCAACAAATACTAATTATCACTAAGTAAAGATACATACGTAGCTATACTAACCTATGGGAGGACCCATATAATGTTCAGCACGTCTTCGATGTTCAGTCACGTCGTCGAAACGAACAAAGGCGTGGTATAATATATAAATCAGATATTTTCGAAGTCGGTGCCAGCCGATACAAAGCACACCTAATTAATTTCGATACGTAAACATATATTTACCTATTAGATATTTATATCTTAAAATATTGTCGGCTGGCACCGACTTCGAAAATATCTGATTAGGTATCTATTCTAAATGAAAACCTCCGTTTAGTTATTTTTTACATTTTAGTACCTGGAAGTCGGTTCATTGTGAATACGTCTAGTATACCCTCCCATAGTTTCTTTCCCCATTATATAGCGGGAAATCGAAAAAAATATACAAATACCTAAACCGAGGTTACTTGTAATGATGTCCACATAGCCTTAAAGATTATGAAGATTGTGATTTCGCCAATTTTGGTCGTCTTATTGCTTTAGCCCACAATTGCTTCAGTTTTTGTCTTTTGGGAACAAATGATATCCATTTTCTTTGCATCCTGGTACTGAACAAATTGACATTTTATTTATATATTTTAAATAAAACGAAAAAATATTCCATCCACGCTATAGAGCTTTACAATATACTGAGGGCCGTAGATATCGCGACATATTATGGCGGGAGAAAAAGGCAAAATTCTTTCCCGTTAGATAAAGATCTACAGCTACAGCATTGTTACTTATGTTATTTTGATAAAATATGCCCATAGTTGTTAGGGGTAACTGTTTAGTTGTGCATTTATAAGTAGAAAAATAAGAGAGGACTAGCGGAAAAAAAAACTAATAGGAAAATCAAAAATAAATCTATTCCTCTGGAACCATATATTTTTCCAAGATAAAAAGTAGCCAATGTGTTATTCCAGACTATAATCTATCTCTGTGCCAAATTTCATCCAGATCCGTGCAGCCGTTCTGGTGCGAAAAAGTAACAAACATCCATACTCACAAACTTTAAAATTTACAATATTTATATACACATATTACAGAATCTTATAAAAAAAGAAAAAGTTCCATTAAAAAAGAACAATAGAAGAATTATTAACTACATATATTAAATGTATCACGATGGGCAGGGATTAAGAATATTGCAGTTAATTTGACTATCAAACTCTGCCTTTGCCGGTCCCAAGCCCGGATGAGAAAAGAGGAGGGTTGGCCTAGAATGACGAAACTTACCTGTGGAACATCTAAACAGGTCAGCCATAAAAATTTGTCAACGCCGAGACATGGGCGGCGGTCAATTAACCCATCAAACTGGTCATCGGAGACCATGAGTGACTAAATATCCTCAATAAGACCGAGGGCAGGTACATTGGGAACACTTGCTACTATTCTCCCACTCTCTTTTTTATGGAATAATGGAAAAGGAAGAATGCGATTTGTCATGCGATCCGGCTAACCCCCGGCGCCACGAGGTACCCGGGCCTTATGGTGTGAAATCTGCTACCGAAGACTGTGCAGGAGCGGGTAACCAGGCTTCTGCTTCAGTGAATGCTACTGGAAAACGATATATTCAACAGGCCTTCCATCCTAGTCTGTTCACAAGAACTAGAAGTTCATCACTGGGAAACATCTCGCAGTTAGAGACTACCACATCATTACAAGACAGTAATCTTGATATGTCTGTTCCAAAACCGCCGGACTGGTAAAGGGTTCCAGGAACCAGGAACCAAAAGCGAAAAAGACAAAAACTACAGTCCCCCTCACCACAAAAAATCACAACTAGCAATAGTTTTAGCCAGCTACCTCTTGACCCTAAAGAACCCGTGAAGGAGTCAATGGAAAAACGACCCAGTAAACCACCACCGATAATACTATATAGAGTTGAAGACGTCAACAAACTTGTAGAATTGCTGGAGTCTACAGTAGACAAAGACTGTTTTACAATAAAGATTGTCAACAGAAACCAACTGAGAGTAGTCTGCAAGGACACAGAAATATATAAAAATGTCATCAGCCTAGTTCGAAGCAAAAGCCTCATAGGGCATACCTTCAACTTAAAAGACCAACGCTGCTACAGAGTAGACATAAAAAACCTGCACCACACAACCCCACATAGTGTTCCGACTGCGCAGTGGGTTAAGAATGACAATATCATGATCCTGAGTAATCGTGGTGATGATAATAGTCTAGTGCACGCCTTGGCCAACTTTGTGAATTTTACTGATCTGAGGCAATTCAATTCAGTTCATAATATTAATAGCAGACATCTAGATCTTATTTTTAGTGACTGCCACTGTACCGTCAGTCGTTGCCCTCAACCTCTTGTTAAAGAGGATGCACATCACCCAGCTCTGGAGATACTATTTGCTATACATAGTTTGCGAATAATTAAACCGCCTCCTAGAATGATTCGACTTTTTCACCGTGCTAACTACGAAGAAATCAATAATGCACTGTCCAAAATTGATTGGATTGAATTATTAGATGACCGTGAAATCTCGGATGCTGTAAATGTTTTTTATGAAACTATTTTTAAAATTGTTAATGATTTTATTCCAATTAAAATTGTAAAATATAATAATAATTATCCCTGCTGGTACCCTAGATCCTTAATAAAAGTTATTAATGAAAAATTAAAGTATCATAGGAAATGGAAAATTTATAACAGAACTTCTGATTATGATACGTTTAGTCTCTTGCGTGATCGTGAGAAAAGGTTACAATCTAAATATTATGATTTGTACATTTCAAATTCTGAAAGTAAAATTAAAGAATGTAGCAAATTCTTTTGGTCATTTGTCCGATCGAAAAATTCTTCCTCTAATATCCCTGAGATTATGCAACTAGGAGAAATAACTGCCTGTGACGGAAATGAAATATGTTCTCTTTTTAGTAATTATTTTGAATCCGTTTACGAGTCACCATCCTTAATCAACAGCAATAATCATGTGATTACCTCAAGTGTGAATAGTTTTGTTAGCATAGGTTCGGTTACACTTTCTCCGTTTATTGTACATAAATACCTCAGTAAATTAGATATAAATAAGGGATACGGGCCTGATGGCTTGCCTCCTATTTTTTTGAAGATGTGTCGTTGCTGTTTATCCCTTCCTATTTATTTATTATTTCAAAAATCTATTTGTAGCGGCGAAATGCCTCAACTGTGGAAACAAGTTATGTGGTACCAGTTTTTAAATCACGTGATAAGCACAATGTGAAAAATTACAGACCTATATCTAAATTATGTACTATCGCTAAACTTTTTGAGAAAATTATATATGACTGTGTTTTTCCTATCCTACGAACCGTTATAATTCCTCAACAGCATGGCTTCATAAATAAAAAATCTGTAGAGTCCAATTTATGTGAATTTGTTCATCAGGTTACCTCCGCTATGGATCAAGGTTTACAGGTGGACGTGGTGTATACCGACTATTCAAAGGCATTTGATAAAATCTGTCATGTAACCTTGATTCGTAAAATTGAAGAACTCGGTATACATGGCGACCTCCTCCGTTGGCTTACTTCATACCTCAGAGATCGTAGCCAGGCGGTTACAATTAAAGGTTACTGCTCTACGTTTGTGCCTGTTACTTCTGGTGTGCCCCAAGGTTCTCATCTTGGACACCTTTTATTTAATTTATTCATTAATGACATTATTGCGGTATTTAAACATTCTTCAATTCTACTCTATGCTGATGATATGAAGATATATAAAACCATAAGTAAACCTTCTGATTGTAGTTTATTACAGGATGATCTGAATGAATTGTGTAAGTATTGCAATGATAATCTCTTACAACTTAATATTAAAAAGTGTAACGTAATATCATTTTCCCGCAAAAAAAATACTATTAATTTCAAGTACACTTTAAACGAAAATCTTATTGAACGGGTTTTAGGGGTGAGAGATTTGGGCATTCACCTTGATTCCTCGTTAACCTTTAGTCAACACTATAGATATGCGACTGCAAAAGCCTATCGGATGCTTGGTTTTGTTCTTAGAATTAGTAAAGATTTTAAGAATAATACCAACCTGATTCTTCTCTTTAACGCATTCGTTCGCTAAATACTAGAATTTGGTTCGGTGATTTGGAATCCACATTACAAAGTCCACATTCAAGAAATAGAGAAAATTCAAACAAAATTCTTAAAGCATTTAAGATTTAGATGTTCCGCTACTGATCAAGTTGTTCCTAATTTGACCTCTCTGGAAAAACGTTGTAAGGTAAAGGACCCAATATTTCTGTTGAAATTACTACATAATATTATTTACTCTCCATTTCTTCTTAACATCATTAACTTCCGATGTCCAAGACAATCTTCGCGAATTAAATCTTTATTTTATTTAAATACTACACGTACCAAATATGCACAAAATGCCTTCATTCATCGTTCTTGTTCATTATATAACAAAGAATACTGTTCAATTGATTACTTTACGGGTTCGTTACAGAAGTTAAATCAACAAATTAAGAAAATGGCCTACTTTAAATTATTTTTATTTGTATTAAATTATATTTGCGACTCTTTATTAACTATAATTATGTAATTATTACTAAAACATTAATTATTTTCTATTCATATGATTATTATTTTATTTAATGTTAATTTTTTTTTAATTGTAATTAATTTGCTCGCATTATTCTATGTACTATTTAATTGTGGAAAATTTATTGGTCAATGATTTAGATTTTATGTTTTGTTTTTTAATTTCTATCAATTTGTACTGTTTGTTTCCCAAATAAATAAAAAATAAAATAAAATAAAAAATAGCGCAATCAAAGAAGAAGTCGAAAAGACGGGAAACAAAGTCCATGGCGAAATTATAAACTCTAAGTTTGGACCAGACAAAAAACCAACGTCCACATTCTTTGTCAATATCGCCCCAGGCGCCAACAACGCAGCAGTGAAGGACATTAAATATATATATCACCAATCAGTTATTATCGAGGATCCAAAAAAAAAACAACAACATTGCCACAATGTCAAAGATGCCAGCAATATGGTCATTCGAAAAACTACTGCATGCGACCATACCGATGTGTAAAGTGTTCCCAGGGGCATAAAACCGCAAATTGCCCAAAAAAAGACCGCAACACACCAGCAAAATGTGCCCTTTGTCAAGGCGCACACCCGGCGAATTATAAAGGCTGCGAGGCTTATAAAGAAATCCTTAAAAGACGTATAACCAGGAATCTAACCTCCAGAACTAAAATACAAGAAGTGACAAGAAGGACTGTCCCAGTAGACTCTCGGCCACAACCTCTTAAAGAACCACAAGAAAAACCTCTCTTCTCCGACATACTTAAAAAGAAAGAAGTCGAGCCAACTCCTACAACTAGTTTAAATAACAAAATAGAAGAACTACTCATCAAACAATCGGAGAAATTCGAATTAATCTTACAACAGATGAGCACTCTCATGAGTCTCATAGCCACCCTAGTCGAAAAAATTTCAAAATGACTGCACTAAGAGTTGGCACCTGGACATTAATGGCCTTTCCCCGAACAAGAATGAATTAGAACTTTTGATATATAATAACCAGCTTGATATTGTACTTATCTCTGACGCTCACTGCACAGTTAAAAGCAAAATTAACATCAAAGGATGCAATACCTATGTGACTAATCATCCTGACGGAACTGGTCATGCGGGAACAGCCGTTGTGATACGACAGTCAATAAAACACCAAGTGCTACCAGAATTTAGGACAAACCACATCCAAGCAACCACAATTTCAGTCGAAACTCGCTGTGGGCAACTGAATTTGTCAGTAGTATACTGCCCACCAAGACATACAATAAGCGCAACAAACTTCACAGATTACTTCGCTACACTGGGGAAAAAATTTGTGGCTGGTGGAGATTGGAACGCCAAAAACACTTACTGGGGCTCAAGGCTAACAACAACTAGAGGTAGGCAACTAAAGCTAAGCCTAGAAGAAAACAACCTGAACTCTATTTCGTCTACAGAACCGACATACTGGCCTGCGGATCCAAACAAAAGACCAGACTTATTGGACTTTTTCATAGTCAAGGGACTCTCGAGAAGTTACCTCAAGGCTGAGTCCTGCTTAGACAGTAATTCTGACCACACGTCTGTTTTCCTAACTGTTACTACGACAATCATTCATTATGATAAGCCTGAACACCTCTATAACAACTTCACTGATTGGGAGGGTTTCAAAGATTATATTGAAGAAAACATCGAACTAAAAGTTCCGTTGAAGACGCCTGATGAGATAGATGAAGCGACTCAATATATTACTAACCTCATCCAAACTGCTTGTTGGGTTAACACACCTATTCCAACGAAAAATGGTCAATCGGCTGGAAATATACCTCTTGAAGTCAAACACAAAATATTAGAGAAAAGAAGGTTGCGTCGAATATGGCATCAAACTAGACACAAAAGGGACAAGACAGCATTTAACAAAGCTATTAAAGAACTAAAAAACCTAATAGACAATGTGAATAATGCCACGATACAAAATAATCTTGAAAACCTAACAGCCACAAAATCAACTGACTATTCACTCTGGAAATTTACAAAGGCACTGGTAAGACCACAACAATTCAAATGTCCTATTAGAAAAAACAGAGGATGGGCTAGGACAAGCTTGGAAAAAGCGAACATGTTTACACAACACCTTGATCTTTACACCGAATGAAAGTAGTAGTATCGAGTTTGAAAACGAAGTTGAAAGTGCACTGCAGCAAGATCTACAATTGTCCACCCCGCCCAGACCAGTTACGGTACAGGAGCTGAAAAGGGTCATAAATAAGCTACAAAATAAAAAAGCCCCAGGTTTTGACCTCATCACCAAATAAATTATCACACAACTCCCCAGAAAGGCACTAGTCTTTCTGGTAACGTTCTTCAATGGTGTGCTTAGAGTACAATATTTTCCTAGATTATGGAAGGTATCCGTAGTGACAATGATCCACAAGCATGGAAAGCCCCCAGAGGAAGCCACATCATATAGACCCATAAGCCTGTTGCCTGTGCTGTCAAAGATGTTTGAGAGGATCCTCCTGAGTTGAATATGACCCATACTCAATGAAAACCAAGTCGTACCGAAACATCAATTCGGCTTTAGACAGCAGCACTCTACCATAGAACAAGTGCATAGAGTGTGTGAAAAAATTAGATCATCTTTTGAAAACAAGGAGTACTGTTCTGCTGTGTTTCTGGATATCCAGGCTGCATTCGATAAGGTGTGGCACAAAGGCCTACTATACAAAATTAAGGCACTTCTACCCCATAGTTTCTATTTACTCTTGGAATCATACTTGGCAGATCGAATATTCCAGTTTAGAGAAGATGGAGAGCTATCTAATATTCATGATATAATGGCGGGAGTACCACAAGGATCTGTTCTGGGACCCGTCTTGTACACCATCTACACTGCTGATCTCCCTGAAGCACAAGGGGTTACCACGGCTACATTTGCCGACGACACTGCGCTACTCGCAAGCAGCAAGGACCCAACTGTCGCCTCTGCTATTTTGCAGAATAACCTCGACAAAGTGACTGAATGGCTCCAGAAATGGCGAATAAAGGCCAGTGCCACAAAATCCGTGCACATAACATTTACGCTTAGGAAGGGAAATTGCGAATCAGTAAAAGTGTGTGATATCACCCTACCACAAATTGACACAGTCCGATACCTCGGTATGCACCTGGACAAAAGACTGGCCTGGAAAAAACACATCAAAGCAAAAAGAGACGAGCTAAACATGCGGTTCAGAAATATCTACTGGCTGATGGCACGAAACTCGAAACTTTCTATCGACAACAAGCTCCTAATTTACAGAATGATTCTGAAGCCAATATGGACTTATGGGTTACAACTGTGGGGAAGTGCATGCGACTCTAGTTTAAACATCATACAAAGAATGCAAAATGGCATCTTAAGAACGATAGCAAATGCACCATGGTTTGTGACGAACTCTGAGATCCATGAAGCGATGAACACAAGAACTGTTAAGGAGGAGATAAAGTTAACAGGGATAAAGTCATGAAGCGATGAACACAAGAACTGTCAAGGAGGAGATAAAGTTAACAGGGATAAAGTACAGAACTCGATTGGAAAATTACCCAAATGCCCTAGCTACCGCATTGTCAAACATTAGCTACACTAAACGACTGAAACGCCATGATATACAGGGAGTTGGCGACAGATGGTGAGGAATGAAAAGTCTCCTGATGAGGAGCCTCTTCGGCACGACATGGACGACTCACAACAAATCCGCTCATAGCCAAAGGCTGATTGCAGATATGCACAGAGAAAAACCTCATTAAGCCTGAAATATATAAAATTAAGAATTAATTATTATTCATAGTCTTTTTGTGTTACATTTTTAGAAATCATTATGCTTTAATTAAAGCAACATATTATTTTTCAATAATGTTACCTGCATTTAATAAGAATAGTTATATTGAAAGCAATACTGTTCTTGGTTTGAATATTGTATTAGCAGAAAATAAATCACTCACATGATTTTTTTATTTCACAGTGAACAAAACTTATTGCCAAACATATTCCTCTTGTAAGATCACAATATCTGTAATTAGAAATTAATCCAATTATAATAATTAATTCAATTTAGTTTTAAAATATGCCTTTATATAAAATTATAATAATATGACATCTCTACTAATACAGAACGACTAGAACTTTTAGAACTTATTTCATAATCCTTTTCATTTAATTATACATGGAAAAGTTGTCTAAAAACTGTCACTAATTGGGTTTAAGTAATTTTTCTAGTTGAAATATAAAACAATTAAAATTGAACCTTAAGAGCAATGCTTAAAGTTGTTTTCACAATAATTTAACCTCAAAAATTTAAAATTTTGAATTAAGTATCTCGAAAACTACTAGCCTCCGCGATTTTCCCTTTGAAAGAGAAGTCCCTCTCAACGCTCCCCTCCTCCTCCACCCCTCTCTTCTCCCTTAAATCGATGTCATAGATTGTAAATGTACAGTTCAACCCCAATGACTATGTGACTGAAGTCAATATTCAAATATGTTATCAAACAATCTTTTACATTTTCGTCTTTTTCCATTCACATTCACTAGATGTTGATTATACAACAGTTAGTCTATTATTTATATAAATATACTAATCAAACGTGAGGCGTTTGAAACTATTATGAATATTAAATCCCCTTCACCTTGTCCTGTGTAAATCGCGATTCAGTATTCACATTTGACATCTCACATATAAAACAAGTCATTAGTCAATTAACTAATAACTTAAAACATGGACGACAAATAAAAATCGATTTATGTGATTTGTCAAAGTGACAGCTAAAGTACGCGTCTGTGTCGATCGCTGAATCAGTGATTTTTACAAAACTTTTGCACCTTATATCTCAATATTGGTGTATTTTATACGTATTGTCTTTGGTCTCATGCTATCCTTATTTCTTTAAAGTACACTTTGTGCAAGTTTGAGCAGGATAGGAATAATTTATAATTTCTAAAAATCGCATTTGTGTCATATGTTAAATAATATAAAGTGTGACACCAAGCCGTCGAAATTAAAAATCATTGCCTGTGAAAAGTAGCAGGTGAAATCACTGTGAAAAATATACGTAATTTCATTTCATTTCGTGCTTTGTGATAAACTGTGACCTGCTACAAATTTATGGAAATCGAAACTTTATCCACCTGGACTTAAAGCTCATTTTATAAGGTCACAAAGTTGTAGTTCGACAGTATATTATTGTTTACAAGTAATATCGCATTAGCAACATATATTTTTCTCTTTCTAACTTGCCCACATGCCCATTTCATGCCTACTCGCTTGCTCTCTAATTAGCAATGACGTTTGTACGTATGAGAACGCATTTCATATGATTTTTCACTTGCTACTCATGAAATGTTCCATGCCTACCCTAAAGCCATCCAATACGAAAGTATCAGATGAGTTTAGGGGTCATAAAACTGCCCATAGTCTTTTAATTAGTGTTTTCTTATTATCTCCTTTAAATATAGACACTTCCAAAGAATAATATTGTAAGTTAATATATAATTTAAAAATAAAGTTATTGTTGGTACCTCTTAGTCCAAATTCAAAATTGCCAGTTACAATGTTTTTCCTTGCAAAAGAGAATACTGAAATACAGTGAAAAAAAACCTCCTTCACCAAATAGTTTAAAAAATAATATAACACAATTTATTTTAGTACATTCAATACTATTTAAATACATAATATATACACTAAAATTTCAGTTTAAAGTTTGCAGATGGACTTTTAGGCTTATCATCTGGTTTCTTGTCAATGTACTTGCTGTTTATTAACAATTTTATGTATCTCCCTTGCTGGTAGGAGGACAATGATATTCCTAGAGCATCACAGTTCTTCACAATTTCTGTGCAACCTCTCAAATCCCTGTTCTGTACTGTAACAAAAAATATAACTTTTAAAAGTTCTGCTACGTTATATCATTAGCAAATAGCAATAATATTAATTTTGTAACAATCTTAATAATACTGAAACAGCATATTGGCATTACAATCAGGTCTCATCAGGAACAAAGAAAAATTAGTTCAAATACATGTCAATAGATGGCGCTATATGTATAATCAATACATGTTATCGAAATCTGTATAAAATTAAGAAAACATGGATTCTTTTAAAGAAGGTCTTAGTAAAGGAAAACGATATAATGTGCTCGTAAATCGAATTTATGTAATTTTGCTAAATATTGTAAAATCAGCACTCAGATTGTGCATATTCATAGATGGTGCTTTTAGTTTATATGAGAATTTCATAGTCAAAAATCATGAAATCATTTAAGATTCGTTGAAATAAATTCACAGTGAATTTTGCAACATTTATCATATTTCAGTTTATACATATTTAAAAAGTATATTAGTTTGACAATTTGTGGATCAAATTATCAGAACAATAGCCATAGAATGGATGGGATGGGGCAGGGCATCTGTACTACTATAGTATTACATTTGTAAGTATTGTTTGTTTGTCTTTTATCAAATGAAAGCAGTGCACAATAAAGTCTTATTTTCAAATATATGATTTTCAGTAATCACTAAAATTATAAGTTTTATTTAAGTATGCATTACATCATTTCACTTTACTAAGCATATTAAAACAAGAATATACCTTTTTGGGATCTATTCCTATTTGTTTTAGTAATTGTAAATAAACATCAATAACAAATTGAAATCTATAATAACATTATAAATGTGGAAGTTTGTGAGGATGGATCGATGGATGATACTTTTTCACACTAGAAAGAACGGTTGAATGGATCTGGATGAAATTTGGCACAGAGATAGACTACAGTGTGGAATAGCACATAGGTTACTTTTTGTAAATGTATGGTTACCGTGGGATAGGTTTTTTTTCTAGAAGCGAACTTATATGTTATTCCAGACTATAATCTATCCCTGTGCCAAATTTGTTTGAAGAAATGTGTGTTAGTCTTAATTCTAAAAACTGACCAAAACAAACATGCAATAAATGAATCAATAACCTTCGTGATCATTTGTTGGATTGTTAAAATATTAAAACCCTTATACTCACATTTATAATTAAAGAGGATGTTAAGAACTTTAGCATACTCAACCATCATTTGATATTTCAATAAGGTTTGTAACAATCGGACTACTGCATCTTCATTGTATTCTTTAAGTATATTTATACAGAATGTTGTTGCTCTGTAGAAAAATAAAATTGCTTTACTTGATTCTCTACTTCATAATTTTTATAATGGTTACACTTAATCTAAGAATATTTATAAAATACATAATCATATTTTAAGATATCTCAACAAGAGTTAGCTTTTAACAACAATTTCATTGAACGCCAAAACAAAAAGCTCAATCACAAATTAATTTTAAGGTTAGCTTAATTATTTTGTTTATTTACATACTTATCTTGAACAATTTTTCTTAACACTTCAGAATTTTCTAATAAATCATTTGAGAGCATCTGATCTGAAAACCAAAAGCTTGACCAACATGTATGCCAAAAGCATATAAGTGGGTAATTATCATTCCATATCTCACTAAATATCAGAACATATTTAGTAAATATTACTAAAGAAGCCTCTGATCGATTTTGAACAGAATCATAAATTAGTTCTCTAAATATTACTCTATAAAAACTTCTAAGCCCTTCATGTTTTACATAGGCTTCTTTTAATATTAATAGCCCATTTTCAGAATTCCCTTTCATACAATGTGCTTTTGCCAGATAATGCAGAAACTCTCCATTTCTCTTATTTAAACAGGGATTTAACTTTGAGCAATATTTTTGTAAAATTTCTACAGCATCTATTCTTCCATTCATACTATATGTTCTGAATAGTTTCTTTATTGTATTATCACTAACTACTTTTGAACTTTTGAGACAATCCTTAATAATGTTTGTTATTTGTGCATATTTATTTTTAATTAGAAGATCCTGCAACAGATCATCAATCTCTTCAGGGGTCATGTTTTCAGTATTTATTCGCCTATTACTTTCGCTTTCCATAAAGTATCTCATACTATAAACATTATTAAATTGGTTTCTCTCTATACCTCTGTGCCTTTGAAATGGGAATTCATTAGAACTCAATAAATCAATTGCATCGATTGTAGTTGTAAAATTAGAATATGGTGTAAAACCTTGGACATATCTTCGTATGTTGAATAATAATCGGAAATATTTATTTGATGTCTTTATTTGCTGCATCTTTATAAATTGTCATAAAGTTGAAAAATACCGACCGGTAAAATTTTCATTTACAGGCTGTAGCGTAAACGTAATATAAACTATTCTTTCTTATGTATAATTCCTTAAATTACTATAAAAGGATTATTATTTACATTTTACACTGGATATCACTAGAAATAAATTCTTAAAAAACTAATTTTTGGAGGTTTAATGTTGATTGTTGGCAATTGGCATTGACATTTCATATTTTGTGTTATGATCAGAAATCAGAATCTTTAATTTCCATAACATACAATTTAAATAATTTTATAATATTTATTTAAATACTCAGTAAAATATTTTGAATTAATTAAATTTAGGAAAATATGTAATAAATTCATTGTGTATCATTTAAAAAAAAATTATTTAACGGTTATAGCGCCATCTGTTATGTAATAGACATACTACGATGTTTATAGTATTCGTCTATTAGATAATAGATGGCTTACATCTTTATTTAAAACTCTTCATATTTGCATTAGTAAATCTGTTTTTATTGCTTATAAAGTCTTTATCTTTAACAACAAATATGTAATGATATTTTAATAGCTTTTCCAGTATTAACTAAGAATTCAAAACAGCTAGGAACGTATCCTAACATATAATAAAATTGTAACTAAGTCGAACTTGAACATTAAATATTTTTTAGAAAATCTTAATGAAATAGACATTATTATCGATACAGAGGCCGAATCTATAGTTTTTAGAATTTTTGTCTGCGTGTCTGTCTATCTGTCTGTCTGTGTCTATTACCGCATCACGGGAAAACCACTGGAGGGATTTTGATGAAATTTGGTATGATGATAGCTGGTTATCCGGGTCCAACATTTAAGATACTTTTTACTGCGGGAAAATTTCAAATCTCTGAGAAATCTATACTAAACGTAAAAGTTCTATTATAATTCTATGATAAATACCTATTGTACTTGCATATAATTAATACCTAATTCATGTCGATTTTTGTAATCAACAAATAACTTACATTATGCAGCTTACTAGCGTTCCCACAGGTCCACCCGCGTAGTGTTACTCCGATTCTGACGTATGCGCCATGTTACCTACAAAGTTTCATTATAATCCGTTTAGTAGTTTTTGCGTAAAAGACTAACAAAAATACATCAATAGAAAACTTTCGCGTTCATAATATTATATATAATAATTAGTAGGATATAATAATTTACAATTTATTATAATAATTCACATACCTATTTAACCTTTAGTACCTTTTCAGGCCATGGAGTTCTCTTCGATATAAATTCTGTCCAGTTCAATGTTAAAATTCAAGGTGTTTTTAGTTAGTAAGTCTATTAGTCAATAGGTAGGCTTTTATTAAAATAAAAAGCCCGGAGTTGATAATATTAGAGATATGCAAACCCACATGCTAAGATCATTTTAAGAAATCGAGCCTATACATATAATAAAATACTGAGTCGAATCTGTACGTTAAATATTTTTTGGAAAATCTTATTGAAATAGTTATTATTTTAAATAAATTTTAAATAAAACTATCTTTTCGGATTTTGTCGCGGATTTATTTGGATTTTTGTTTCCCGACGTTTCGAATGCTTTACAGCATCCATGGTCACGGGAGAGACTAGAGTTATTATTATCGATACAGAGGCAGACATAGAGAGTGTCTAAACTTTTGTGCTAAGTAAGACTCGTCCGTGGCTACTGTGAAATTTTTTTAGGATTGTTATTTGAATTCAGCTTTTATTTTTAATGTCCCACTGCTGGGTACGGGCCTGCCTTCAATACGAGGTGGATCACACCATAGTCCACCACGCTGGTAAAGCGCGGGTTGGCGTTCTTTACATATCTTTCGACAATTTGCTACGTACTCTCACAATGTTTTCGTATTCATCGTAAGACAGATGGTGATCATGTTGGAAATGATTTGCACATGAAAACATCAGAGGTGCTATACCCGGGATTTGAAACCACTTCACTCGGTTTCGCGAGCGAGCGCGTTATCACTGGGCTCCCAATGGTTTACTCCGATTATCCTATTGTTATTGAGGGTGAATTGCTAATATAAAATAAATACGTACGAAAACAATCGTCAATGAATCTTCATTTATTACACTAAAGACCGCATTAAAAGAGAACGTGAAAAAGTCATACTTTAAAAGTACAATGGAATGTAGGTAACCCTAATCACAAACCTAAAAATAAAAAACGATTTACAAGCAAATAAATCAAAATCGACAAAATACATGAATCGGATTACAAGTTTTAATATGTCGTGTACTCATTTTGAGATCGCCGACAATCCCCTGTCGATGAACATTCGGATATTAGTCGTAATGCCGAGCACAGCAGGGTACCGGTCACCGGGTATCAGACAATGCTACGATACTGTCAAACGACTCTATTAAAGCTGTTACAGACGATCATGCGACTCGTTTGATGCATGAATTTGTGATTCATCAGAGACTTTGATTCGTACGCGTAAAATGCAAATATTATCAAAGTAACTACTTTCTTTATTTCTTTTCTAATCACTTGATTTACTAAAAAAAAGAGGGAGCTACGAGTGATAAGTTTTATATAAGATAGTGAAAATCAGCGCGTCTATCTAAAAGGCGTGCGCTGGTGAACTCGTAAACAATGATTTAGAATACCGTATTTCGAAATCGTAATAGCCTAATTTTGTTATAATTAATATTTCAATTTAGTATAAAATTATTTCTTCGTTCTTTGTGTTACTATTTTTTGAGTTAAAATTACTTTTATAATATTAAATAAATTGTATAATACTAGCGACTTACCTTGCGTCCATAGATTTTATTACTTTATTTCAAAGCAGCTACTCAACACCCAGTTTTATTCCGACATCAATTAAATTTATTATAATTTGTGACAGCAAACACATGTTTGTCGAAATAAAAAACTTGCCTATAAAAGTCGTGGGTAATTTATTTGTGAAAGAATTTTCAGAATCGGATCAGTAGGTTTGGAGATTACCTTCTACATAGAAACTTACCTATAGATAAAGTTTTATATTTTAGAGCTTTATAATTAAAAAAGCTTCCACATTAGATTAAAAAATATCGCTTAATATTTATTATTTAACATTTTGTAACATAATATTACAAAATCTATAAATTGTTTCTATTAAAAAATATGAAAGGAAAATTGTAACTGGATATAGCAAAGTATAAATTTTTGTTGATGATTACAATTTACAAAACTTAAAAAAAGTTTTACTATGTCACGCAAAATATGGGAACATTTTATCAATGTGGGAGCTAATTTATAATAGCTAACATTCTGTTGCATATGGTAACAAATGTTGCAATATGTTATTGTTTTATATGATGTTATATGTATAAAGTTATTCATTTCCCAACTTTAAAAGCAAGCAACGTTAAAAAAAGTATCCTTAAGCTAGAACTAGACTCGAGTCCTTGGTCAGACAAAGTACTTATAATAATAATTAGATTTATCTGACAAGAAATTCTCAGTAGCAGCTCAGAGTAAGGTGTAGAGTTAGACTTTGAGAGTGAACTTATGTCGGCACACATGTTTTAATACCTCCGGCGCATAGAGCCAATAACAATAGGATTGTTGGCCACCATGACCGAAATGGACGAACAGGCGTCTTATTATATAATGCTTACTAATTTACTTAGACTAGCAACTTACCCTCGCTTCGCTCGGGTTCGTCCTAACGTTGATTCCCCAAACAAACTTTCATCCCCATTTTCACCCCCTTAAGGAATGATTTCCGGAATAAAAAGTATCCTAAATCCTTCCCGGATTCTCAAACTATCTTCTTACCAAATTTCATCTAAATTGGTTCAGTAGATCTAGAGATTACCCCCTACAACGTCACAAACTCACATTTGACAAACTCACAAACTTTACGTCTTAATAATATTAGTATAGAAGTATTGATATATTATTGTGTGTAGAGATAGTTCGGGAGATGATGAAAGTTTTTAAGTGAAAATTAAGATGTAACGTATGTATTGTAAAATATGTATGTAACTATGTAACCATGTAAATGATTAATGCATGAGATATATTCCAAGCCTGAGAGTAGCAAGAGCAAGTCAACGAGATGAGATGAACATCCGATTATAGTTTACCTATACCGATACATTCACCTTATCCTGTCACGTCGAACCCACGACCTTTAGAATAGACAGTGCCTGTCCAAAAACTATAGTAGTTATCATATAATTTAGACTAAAGCATTATTAAACCATAATTTACTAAATATATCGTCACATCCATCCCACATCATTTATACTTGATTCATCTAATTAATGTTGTAATTACTCCAATTAAAATAGGATTAATACTTTTCTAACGTTACTAAGGTGTCATTAGTGCGAGGAAAATGTGTAAGCCAGCCATTTTATGGAGACCTACTCGTTACATATACCCCGTTTGAAAGTGGGGGTCTTGTTTAAATGACCATGATGCAGCATGTTTACTAGTAAATGCGCCCGCAGGCATTCGGAACAACTCTTTAATCGAATGAGTTATGCCTCGTTCGTTGCTGCGGTTATCGTTGACATTTTCTTAAAAGTAAAATGTTAACTGACTAATAGTTTAAGACGTCTTTATTGTTTGAAGTGAGTGTTACGAATTGATTATTATCATTAAATATTGTTTAGTTTATTTCTCACTATATTGGATTATTTAATATTTTTATCATTATAAAGTTAAAAATTAAAAAATAAAACTATTTTAATTAATTTAAAAGTAGTTATCGGTTATAATAAGATATTGTTTCTTATATTTCAAGGAGTCCAACAATTCATCTGTTGGTAAGTGGTTAGCTTCGTATAATCTTTGAAAAACTATTAAAATCGATTGTTAAAGGAATCCCAAGCAAAGA